GTAGTGGTTATCACGTGCGCCTAACACGCGCAAGGTCCCGGTTCGAGCCCGGGCGGAATCATTTTTTTTTCTTTTTTTTCTTCTGAAACGCAAGGAAGTCGTGATCCCCAGACGCACACAATTAATAGAACGCCGTGAAATCAATCACCCAATTAACACAACACTATCAACAACTTAAGTCCAATAGGATTCCGTAGTGTAGTGGTTATCACGTGCGCCTAACACGCGCAAGGTCCCCGGTTCTAGCCCGGGCGGAATTTTTTTTTTTTTCCTTTTTTTTTCTTCTCAAACGCAAGGAATTCCTGATCCTCAGACGCAGACAATTAAAAGCGAACAATGAACGCCGTGAAATCAATCACGCAACACAAGACTATCAATCACCTAAATCCAACAGGATTCCGTAGTGTAGTGGTTATCACGTGCGCCACACACGCGCAAGGTCACCGGTTCGAGCCCGGGCGGAATCATTGTTCTTCTTTTTTTTTCTTCTGAAACGCAAGGAAATCGTGATCCCCAGACGCACACAATTCGTCACCAACACCACGAAGTAACACCCATCTACATACCAGTAAAAACTAGCAATCTGAGAAAACGGCAACTAAAGTTGAACGTCTTCTAAAACAACACTTTGCGCCAAAACGACAGAGTATTTTCAGTTGGGTTTCTCGTTGTGGACACTTGATGAATTGAATTTATTAAATCTGCTGTTTTTCACCCGTTTGTGTATTAAATAAACAAGAAATAAGAAAAAAAGATGAGTGTTAGTTCGTGAAACCGAAAAAGCTGCGAAACTGTAATTTTTTGTTTTCACGAAGTAACACTCTTCAATGTATACAACACGAGGAAAGTGCAACTTCAGGTCAGCGCGCGCGCGCTCATACAACTTATTACAAGAAGAGTGTTACTTCGTGAAAACGTTTTTGCTCACGTATGAGCAGAGTGCGCGCCATGCATTGCAATGGTAAATGGAACTTGAGTGTTACTTCGTGAAAACGAAAATTGTCACTTTTGCGCAAAAGTTGCCATGGATACTTAGCGTAATTATTAAAGTAAAGCTCTTGAAGCTTTGAAACTTCGTGTAATGGTAGGCCTTGATGAATAATGTTTAAAAATCCAAAAAACTGAAAATCGAAAAAAATATGGTTTAACACGGTAGAGTGTTACTTCGTGGTGTCGGTGACGAATTAATAGAACTCCTTGAAATCAATCACCCAATTAACATAACACTATCAACAACTTACATCCAACAGGATTCCGTAGTGTAGTGGTTATCACGTGCGCCTAACACGCGCAAGGTCCCCGGTTCGAGCCCGGGCGGAATCATTTTTTTTCTTTTTTTTTCTTCTGAAACGCAAGGAAGTCGTGATCCCCAGACCCACACAATTAATAGAACTCCGTGAAATCAATCACCCAATTAACACAACACTTTCAACAACTTAAATCCAACAGGATTCCGTAGTGTAGTGGTTATCACGTGCGCCTAACACGCGCAAGGTCCCCGGTTCGAGCCCGGGCGGAATCATTGTTCTTCTTTTTTTTTTTCTGAAACGCAAGGAAATCGTGATCCCCAGACGCAAACAATTAATAGAACTCCGTGAAATCAATCACCCAATTAACACAACACTATCAACAACTTACATCCAACAGGATTCCGTAGTGTAGTGGTTATCACGTGCGCCTAACACGCGCAAGGTCCCCGGTTCGAGCCCGGGCGGAATCATTTTTTTTTCTTTTTTTTTTCTTCTGATCGCAAGGAAGTCGTGATCCTCAGACCCACACAATTAATAGAACGCCATGAAATCAATCACCCAATTAACACAACACTATCAACAACTTAAATCCAACAGGATTCCGTAGTGTAGTGGTTATCACGTGCGCCTAACACGCGCAAGGTCCCCGGTTCGAGCCCGGGCGGAATCATTTTTTTTTCTTTTTTTTTTCTTCTGAAACGCAAGGAAGTCGTGATCCCCGACGCACACACTTAATAGAACGCCGTGAAATCAATCACCCAATTAACACAACACTTTCAACAACTTAAATCCAATAGGATTCCGTAGTGTAGTGGTTATCACGTGCGCCTCACACGCGCAAGGTCTCCGGTTCGAGCTCGGGCGGAATCATTTCTTTGCCTTTTTTCTTCTCAAACGCAAGGAAATCGTGATCCCCAGACGCACACAATTAATAGAACGCCTGAAATCAATCACCCAATTAACGCAACACTATCAACAACTTAAATCCAATAGGAATCCGTAGTGTAGTGGTTATCACGTGCGCCTAACACGCGCAAGGTTCCCGGTTCGAGCCCGGGCGGAATCACTTTTTTTTCTTTCTTTATACTAAAACACAAGAAAATCATGATCCCAGACGCCCACACTTAATAGAACGCCGGAAATCAATCACGCAACACAAGACTATCAACCACCTAAATCCAACAGGATTCCTAAGTGTAGTGGTTATCACGTGCGCCTCACACGTGCAAGGTCTCGGTCCCCGGTTCGAGCCCGGGCGGAATCATTTTTTTTTCTTCTTTTTTTCTGCACAAACGCAAGGAAATCGTGATCCCCAGACGCATACAATTAATAGAACTCCGTGAAATCAATCACCCAATTAACACAACACTATCAACAACTTACATCCAACAGGATTCCGTAGTGTAGTGGTTATCACGTGCGCCTAACACGCGCAAGGTCCCCGGTTCGAGCCCGGGCGGAATCATTTTTTTTTTCTTTTTTTTTTCTTCTGAAACGCAAGGAAGTCGTGATCCCCGACGCACACACTTAATAGAACGCCGTGAAATCAATCACCCAATTAACACAACACTTTCAACAACTTAAATCCAATAGGATTCCGTAGTGTAGTGGTTATCACGTGCGCCTCACACGCGCAAGGTCTCCGGTTCGAGCTCGGGCGGAATCATTTCTTTGCCTTTTTTCTTCTCAAACGCAAGGAAATCGTGATCCCCAGACGCACACAATTAATAGAACGCCTGAAATCAATCACCCAATTAACGCAACACTATCAACAACTTAAATCCAATAGGAATCCGTAGTGTAGTGGTTATCACGTGCGCCTAACACGCGCAAGGTTCCCGGTTCGAGCCCGGGCGGAATCACTTTTTTTTCTTTCTTTATACTAAAACACAAGAAAATCATGATCCCAGACGCCCACACTTAATAGAACGCCGGAAATCAATCACGCAACACAAGACTATCAACCACCTAAATCCAACAGGATTCCTAAGTGTAGTGGTTATCACGTGCGCCTCACACGTGCAAGGTCTCGGTCCCCGGTTCGAGCCCGGGCGGAATCATTTTTTTTTCTTCTTTTTTTTCTGCACAAACGCAAGGAAATCGTGATCCCCAGACGCATACAATTAATAGAACTCCGTGAAATCAATCAGCCAATTAACACAACACTATAAACAACTTAAATCCAATAGGATTCCGTAGTGTAGTGGTTATCACGTGCGCCTCACACGCGCAAGGTGCCCGGGCGGAATCATTGTTTTTCTTTTTTTCTCTTCTGAAACGCAAGGAAATCGTGATCCCCAGACCCACACAATTAATAGAACGCCGTGAAATCAATCACCCAATTAACATAACTCTATCAACAACTTAAATCCGATAGGATCCCGTAGTGTAGTGGTAGCACGTGCGCCTAACACGCGCAAGGTCCCCGGTTCGAGCCCGGGCGGAATCACTTTTTTCCTTTCTCTCTACTAAAACACAAGAAAATCATGATCCCAGAGTACCAGATGCACACACTTAATAGAACGCTGGAAATCAATCACGCAACACAAGACTATCTTGAAGCACCTAAATCCAACAGGATTCCGAAGTGTAGTGGTTATCACGTGCGCCTTACACGCGCAAGTTCCCCGGTTCGAGCCTGGGCGGAATTTTTTTTTTCTTTTCTTTTTTTTCTCCTGAAACGCAAAGATATCGTGATCGCTAGACGCACACAATTAATATACCCAATGCAATCAATCACCCAATAAACACAACACTATCACCAACTTAAATCCAACAGGATTCCGTAGTACAGTGGTTATCACGTGCGCCTAACACGCGCAAGGTCCCCGGTTCGAGCCCGGGCGGGATCACTTTTTTTCTTTCTTTCTACTAAAACACAAGAAAATCATGATCCCAGACGCACACACTTAATAGAACGCCGGAAATCAATCCCGCAACACAAGACTATCAACCATCTAAATCAAACAGGATTCCGTATAGTGTAGTGGTTATCACGTGCGCCTAACACGCGCCGGTTCGAGCCCGGGCGGAATCACTTTTTTTTCTTTATTTCTACTGTATGGAGGGCTGGTGCTTGAATTTCTTTTGTTGCGATTCCGATTGCTCTTGTCTTGAACAGAGTTGACATTATATGCCAAGTCGGTGCTGAACATTGGACCGAACTGACTTCATTCAGATTCAGTCTCCAATCGTGATCATACAAATTCCTGTAATTGTTTTTCAATCATTGGATGAATAAATCAATCTTAATATCAATCTTAATCGGGATATTTTCCTTTTACCTTATCCACCTTTGCATGCTGCCTTTTCCTCGCCAGTCCTTTGCCAATCAAAGCAAAGCCCAACAAATTCACGCCTGAATGAGCAGCGCATGCAGTACAGTAGAATGCCGTGAAATTTGTCACGCGTGACAAGACTATGGGCTTTATGCACGAGCCGGCCATATTAAATTGAAAGCGAGGTAAAATCTTCATTTTTGAACTTTGCGAAGAAGAGAAATGAAATCAATGACATCAAGTACATTACAAATTAAAACCAGTCTGCTCTGATGAATAATTTAAAATTTGTGATTAAACATACCCTAATGTTTTAAGCCACATTGAAAAAAAATGAAAGTAAGGCTAGAATGCATAAATAGTCAGGCACCATCCCATTTAACACTTCACGATTCATAAAATACATTCAGGGAACACGACCAAAATGACTTGCTCGTGAATAAGGCCCAGGAACAACTACACAATCCATCGGGATTCCGTAGTGTCGTGGTTATCACGTGGTTATCACGTGCGCCTCACACGCGCAAGGTCCCCGGTTCGAGCCCGGGCGGATTCATTTTTTTCCTTTTTTCTTCTTCTGAAACGCAAGGAAATCATGATCCCTAGACGCACACATCTAATGCAATTTGCAATATTTCTAAGTTAGAAGTTTCAAACTAAAATTTCGAACTAGGTCGGGTGTTTAATTTGAAACTTAAGCACTCAGACCGTCCAACAAACTCAATGGGAATGTGGCAGTATAGGATAGGAAATCACAACTGTTTGTGTGCGCATCTGAAATTCGACAAAAATGTAGGGCCTACATGAAGTGCAATGTATGTTTTAAAAATACAAAGGTTTTGCACTTTTCAACACATCACGATAGGTCAATTAATTGGACACTTTCACTTTGCGTACTACAGCATATAGAGATATATGCAGCCATATGGCGCAGCAGCCAGTGCATCTGGTTGGCCCAATTGCAAATAGGCATCCTAAAATAGCTGATAACACTGATAACCATAAACTGCTGACTCTGAAATGAAAGGTAAACAGAGTTTGGGGAAAAGTATTTACTAGACCCAGATCCAATACAGACATTCTAAGCAGGCACAACAATACTGATAATGTAGACTATCGTCCCAAGCTAACTTCTAAACACTAGACTAGGTCCGAGTCTTGTCTCAGTAATAACAACACCGAGTATTCTTCGTTAATACTCGGCATTCAGTGCTCACTGGTCAAACAGCATTATTTTGACAAATCTCGAAGCAGGCCGTCTCAAACAATGATACATTATTTTGGACTAACAATCATTGCAACAACACGCCACACAGTATAGTAACATTGAGTCAACAGCTGAAAAGTACGTTTAGAATATCAATATGCAGCAGCTTACTGCGAAAAACCTTATTATTTGCATTCCATTGCCTTTTCGAAATGCATAGGCCTATGATGCACTTCCGATGCGTTGACCGGGAAGACATCTGACGAGCAGCTTAGACATACACGGAACACTGTTTTGACATCTATCGTGTTTTGCTGAATAAGATTCCAAATAATTTATTGTCATGCTGAACATAAACGACTGGTTTAAGATTGAGCAAATCCATTATCGTGGCAGTGATTGATATCATTACAATGGGCGAATTTTTCTTCGGAGTCGGTGGTTCCAATAGCAGATGACTTTGATAGTACCCCGCCTAATTCTAGGATTAGTAGCGGCATAGATGAACGGGTTGATCGCCGAGTTGACCCACACAGTGTAGTACACACCATTCCACAACAGCCAGCTAACATCTATCACTTTCGTTACCAACAGGAACTGCAAGACGTAATAGGGGGACCAACATATGAAAAACACGCCCACGATAAGGGCCAGCGTGATAGCGGCCTTCCGGTGAGTTTTGTAGGACCTTTTGGTGTCTTGTGATCGGTGAGTACTGTTGACGTGTGAATCTTTTTTAGCACCGGGCTCTGCCGGTGGGTGGATTGTGTCTAGCTGCATTGGAGAAACTTCCGTGCGAACCAAGCTTTTGGAGCGCTTCAGGATGTTGGCGTACACCTTGAAATTCAAGTAAGCTAAGATGATTGCCGGTGCAAAGAACCCTACAACTATTTGAGCAATGTTAAAGGAAATAATGTGCAGCACGCTGAAATCGCAGGTTACTGAGTAGTTAATCATACCAAAGTCTGTCGTTGTGGGCCATAGTTCATTGCCCAAAACTGGGAAAGCATTGACTAGCAACGCGAGCGTCCAGGTGACTGTGATGAGGCCGCAAGCAAGTCTCCTGCTGTTGTACTTTCGATACTCCAGGAATTTGGTCACCATGAAATAACGATCAAGACTGATGAGTGTCACTGCGAAGGCGCCCTGCATGCACGCCGAATAATCCACGACAGTCCAGAAGGTGCACACGCCTCGCTGAAAGGGCCAGTTGCCGGTATACCGCCAAATATTTTTAATTGTCAGAGAATTGATCCCAACACATAAGTCTGCGCTGGCAAGGTTCAGAATGTACATATTGGCTACGTTAGACCTCAGCTGCTTGTCTTTGAGAATCACTACAAAGATAAGAATGTTACCAAACACCGCTAAAATGCACATGAGCCATACAATGGTAGATATGACAATCTCGATGAGTAAAGGGTGCGAGAATGCGCCAAGGAGGCTGTAGTCTGAAGAAGACGTCACATTGTCCACTACGAAGCTTGGCACGGTGGTTGCCATCTTTCAAAGAGGATTTGACTTTAGATTAATGGAACTCGAATGCACCCGCAGTCTGAAACGGAAATAAAAACCATTTATTCATCTTACACCATATGGAATGACAGTAGACTGTTGAGTTCCAATGATCATGCCAACCCAAGAATCTCCCACGATACTATTGCGAGATTCCATCCCTTCGCCGCTGAACAAATTATAACGAAGTGAAATTGTTGATATCACAGGCAATGTAACGAAACAATGACAACAAGGGTCCAAAGGTCCATGGAAAAGTAACAAGAGTACTTGCGATTACGCTTGAATTACCAGTTAAGTAACTCGCAATTATCACGTGATTGATGAAACTGTCGAAGACACACGAGGAAAAGAATGTAAGCAAACAACGCTAAGGAGCTGCGCATTGTTAACGATTGTGGAATTATCGATGGGTGGAGCGTACTTGCCCGGAGAGAGTTTGTGTCTCCATGTAATGCAGTCCCATTATTAGTATTGGTAGAACTTTGACATTTCGGAGAGCATGTGCGCAGAAACAAAGTGCTTTCATTCTTTCCATCCTTTTTTTCTAAAGTAAATTTATGCAGTACGCCTATACGCGAGTGGTTTTGCTCATCTGTAACAAAATAATTCGTTTATATCGACTGATGAATGCTTGTGGATGATTCATTAATTAACTTGTCTACAAAACATTCGACTGAAGCTGCCTTTATTTGATCAAGTTTAATGATACCAAAATAATTTCGAGTAGGCATATTTCGCTACAACGCGACATTTTCGTTCATATAATCTGTCACGCATGGTATGACTATTATTTCAACTACTATAACATTCAACAGGATTCCTCAGTATAGTAGTTATTATTATTATTATTATTCTGGTTTATTAATCATTGTGTTTGTAGCCAGAGGCTAAATTGTCACAATGCGTACAAATTAAAACACAAAATCAGAAATACAAACTTACCAAAACATTTACCATCATACTTACAAATATCAGAATACAGTACATTTAAAAAAAAAATGAGTTAAGATTTGCACATCGGAATATAAGAAAGGCGCACTCTACCAGAATGGTACATGAAAAAAGGTGGTTTTTTTTCCTAAGAATGTATTACATGAATAAAATAGGATTTTGTATTATTGTATGTTTTTTTTTATTATCAAGTTCTAGTATGAATGGGAGTTAAGACTTTGAACTGTTGTTCAAAAGGTCAACAAAATATGGGATGGGGCTATTCTGGTATCGTTTAGTCTTGCACATCATTTTGGATAAGTTGTAACTGTTTCTAAGCTGATATTGCACATGACTACTTCTCGGCTGAGGTAACCAGTCCTGAAATAAGCTACAGTTTTTCAGTCTGTTAGCAAAGTCAAGACAGAGATCCATTCTACGATTTTGAAGAGAAACTAAATTGCATTTCATTAGGGCATGCTCATAATCAACATAATCAAATCCCAGTATAATTTTGAGGGCACGTTTTTGGATGCTCTTTAGTTAACCCTGCATTCCAAACCTGTGTAGCATATTCAGTGAGTGGACGAATGTAGCCTTTGTATATTGTTAATAAGTCTGAAAGTGCATGATAAGTTAAATTTCTTCAACAATTTGAGCATAAACATTTTGCTGTTAGCCTTATGAAAGATGTGATCGATATGCTTGTCCCATTTGAGGTCTGAACTAACCAAAACGCCAAAAAAAAAATCACAATCTACTTTCTGAAGGTCAGTATCCGAAATCTGAATGGCGTGTGCCAAAAGTACCAACACATAAATGGGGGAGAGGTATCTGTAAATTTGGTTAAAACTTTGGCGAAGGGTTGTCAATAACGTGGGGACTTGAACAACTTCGAAGAAATCCCCCAAAATAAGAGATTATGGGTGTTTGTAATACGTGCAGGTCAATGTCTAAAGTAAATCTGGGGGTTTTTCTGAACGTGTTCATGTCCCCCACATGAGGCAAGCTGTTTGCCTTTTATTAGCCCAATTTACGGACACGTCTTTTCCTCCCTCTTTTTTTTTTGAGGGGGAAGGGGGCTAAATATCACGATGTTATCATTGATAACTTGATTTTCTACATACAGTTTTTAAGTAACTTTGTGAATTTGAAACTCATGAATACTAAGGTTTGGCAAGACTACTTGATATTTGAGGAAAAGGTAAATGCGTGCAACATTAGGGTATAATGGTAGCCAGTTTGGATCTTTCATATGTCCTCATAATTATTCAGTCACTTATTTGCTTTGGAAAATGTTTTGTAATTAAGGATAATATTTAAGTAGAATCCCAAAAATATACTTTTCATATTTTTTTTTAATGCACCAAAATATGTGAATAAATATATTACACTGCGGCCATTTACGATTTATGCAAAGTAGGTACCCTTCAAAAAGTCAGGTGTCACCCATTCTAAATATCTTCTCTAGGGCTATAAGAATCTATCTGCCAAGTTTGGTGCTTTGGACCATTCGGTCACTCGCGATCTTGTCAAACCCATTCAGTATAAGTGAGTCCCGTCTCTCTCTGTCTGTCTCTCCGTCTGTCTGTCTGTCCGGCTGTGTATTTTGTGATTGTGTGATCACCGTGGGAGTTGAAATGTCTCACACTGATAGTTCATGTACGGGAGGGGACAGGCGACATTTGTGTTCCTAATTGACCGTCCACTAATTCACTTTATTATACCACAGCATAATAGATATGCACCCGCATCAGGTAGGCTCAATGTGTAAGCTTCCTAAAATAGCTCCCATCATGATCACATCACTTGAAAACGATAATAAACTAATAAGTGCTGACTAACGATAATAAGCCATAAAGTATTCACTGTGTGCAATGAAATGAGGCAAAGGCCAAGTTCGGGCAAGGACCATTAGTCGACTAAAGTTGATTTGTGACGTACCTTACGCCTGCGCGCTGATAGCAACGTGCGAAAGTCTCTAGTCAAACGCTGGTCAAAATGTCATCGCAAAACTTCTGGATCCTGGCTCTCTGCTAGCGTTATGAATGCGCGCGGCTATTGGTTACCAGCGAAGCAACCAACCCCAGTAGGCTGGTTCCAAAGTAGTCGACTAGCGTAGTCAACCACCGTCGACTAGACAGAGTTCGGGCAAACGTTAGTTAACCATTGGTCAACTATAGTCCTTGCGCGAACTTGGCCAACGTTTGAGAAAATGTAACAGACCCAAATCTAATACAGGCATTCTAAGCAGCCACAACAATACTCGGATAATGCAGACTGTCGTCCCAAGCTAACTAAAACAGCATACTCTGTCAGAGTCGGGGTCTACCCGAGTGTTCCCTAATACCTATGTTCCCCAATACCGATGTTCCCCAAAAACCTTAGGATAAGGGTTAGGGTTGGGGAACATCAGTATTGGGGAACATAGGCATTGGGGAACATTATGTATGCACCTGTCTGAGTCTTGCCATATTAATACAATGACAGCAGAGAGCATTCTTTCATACTTTAGCATTCAGTACTCTGCAGGGAGTCACTAGGAACATTGTTTACTTGGAAATCTTTGAATCAGGCTGTTTCAAACAGCACAACATCTCCAGGAATATTTCAATGTTACATTCTTTTGGACTGACATTCATTGCAAAAAAACCATTCACACTACAATTGAGTCAATTCAACAGCAGATGAAACAATGTTCAGAATATCGATGCAGCAGCTGCCCATTTGAAACTTTTTAATTATTATTCCATTGCCTTTTTTCAGATTGTTTATAATTCACTTCCCGTGCGTACAGACCGGACTTTATTCTAGTCGGGAAAGTAAGAGTGAATGGTCGCCAAAGACCCGTTTTGACGAACAACTTAGACCTACATGTGAATACGATTATGAAAGATTATTATTGTAAGTTTGGTGAACACGGTTCGTTGCAAGTCATTTGGAATCATTGCAACGGGCGAATTTTCCTTCGGAGCCGGTGGTTCCAAAAGCAGATTATTTTGATAATACCCCGCCTGATCCTGGGACTAGTGGCAGCATAGATGAACGGATTGATCGCTGAGTTGACCCACAAAGAGTAGTTGGCACCATTGCCTAACAGCCAGCTAAAATAAACCCCCTTAGCGATAAACATGAACTGCAAGACGTAATAGGGGATCCCACATATGGAAAACACGCCCACGATAAGGGCCAGCGTGATAGCGGCCTTCCGGTGAGTTTTGTAGGACCTTTTGGTGTCTTGTGATCGGTGAGTACTGTTGACGTGTGAATCTTTTTTAGCACCGGGCTCTGCCGGTGGGTGGATAGTGTCTAGCTGCATTGGAGAAACTTCCGTGCGAACCAAGCCTTTGGAGCGCTTCAGGATGTTGGCGTACACCTTGAAATTCAAGTAAGCTAAGATGATTGCCGGTGCTAAGAACCCTATAACTATTTGAGCAATGTTATAGGAAAGAATACGCAGCACGCCGAAGTCGCAGTTGACAGAGTAGTTAATACCAACGTCTCCAGCATTGGGCCACAGTTCATTGCCCAAAACTGGGAAAGCATTAAATAGCAACGCGAGCGTCCAGGTACCTGTTATTAGGCCGCAAGCAAGTTTCCTGCTGTTGTACTTTCGATAATTCAGGAATTTGGTCACCATGAAATAACGATCAAGACTGATGAGTGTCACTGCGAAGACGCCCTGCATGCACGCCGAATAATCCACGACAGTCCAGAAGGTGCACACGGCTCGCTGAAAGGGCCAGTTGCCGGTATACCGCCAAATATTTTTAATTGTCAACGAAATGATCCCAACACACAAGTCGGCGCTGGCAAGGTTTAATATGTACATATTGGCTACATTGGACCTCAGCTGCTTGTCTTTTAGAATCACTACGAAGATCAGAATGTTACCAAACACCGCTAAAAAGCACATCAGCCATACAATGGTAGATATGATAATCTCGATGGGTAAAGGGTGCGAGAATGCGCCAAGGAGGCTGTAGTCTGAAGAAGACGACGTCACATTGTCCACTACGAAGCTTGGAACGGTGGTTGCCATCTTTCAAAGAGGATTCCAATTTAAAAGCTCGATTAATGGAACTTGAATGCACCCGTAGTCTTAAAGGGAAATAAAAACCATTTACAATCTTACACCATATTGAATGACGGAAGACTGTTGAGTTCCAATGATCATGCCAACCCAAGAATCTCCCACGATACTATTGCGAGATTTCTTCCCTTCACTGCTGAACGAATTGTCCAATTATCATCGAAGTGACATTTGGATGTCGAAGGCGTTGTAACGAAACAACCACAACGAGGGTCCAAAGGTCTATGTAAAAGCACCAAAGTCATTCGATTATGCTTGAATTAACCGTCATTAAAGCAACTCACAATTATCACGTGATTGATGAAACTGTCGAAGACACATGAGAAAAGAATGTAGGCAAACAACGCTAAGGAGTTGCGCATTGTCAACCATTGTGGAATTATCGATGGGTGGAGCGTACTTGCCCGGAGAGAGTTTGTGTCTCCATGTCATGCAGTCCCATTATTAGTATTGGAAGAACTCAGATGAAATTACCGAGAGCATACATGCGCGCACATCTGTAACAAAATAATTCGTTGACATTGTGACGTCACACCCTTCGGGTGGAGCACATGGTGGAGCCATAGACATATAATAAAACCCCGAAACTGGAATCACTCAGCCGGCTATATTTATTGTGTAAAGTTGCCCGATCGAGGCTGTGCATGCTGATGGCGGAAGAGTGCATGCAAAGAGCGAATAGAGACGAGTCCGTTGGGATGGAATAGATATACGTCCCGGCCGCGAATTATTTTTTCCCAAAACGAGATCCAACAATATCAAAAGGGGGCGCTCTATCTATGCGTTATGCATATTGTTGATGCCCAGGGCTTTATAGAATAAGTTATATATAACTAGGAATAATGGTGTTTAAATCACCGACGATTGGCAGCTGATTCGTTGACTGGTTGGAAGTGGTCCTGATCTGACTTCTGTTAAGGAGAATGGACGAGGTTATATTCGTGCTTAGAATAGATGAGACGAGGCCGAGTCCATTCTTGCACGAATGTACAGTTCCGTGTCTATTCTCCGACTCTACCTACTTCTTAAAACAACATTCATAAATACCTAAGACAGTTTATGCATTCCTATTGGTCGAGAGCCCGTCACGTGGCCGGTCTTAAACGGATGATAAAGACATGGCTGGCTGGTCTTAAACACTTTTCCAGTGTCACATGAAATTTGGACTCCCGTGAAATCCGGTGCCTTTTAACGTTTCATTGGTTGAACGTTCACATTCCTCACGTATGGCATGCGCAATAGACCGCTTGCAGATGCGTTCGATAATCGACGCGCGAAGGCGCGCGACGCCATGTTGTGGGACAAGCGCATATCTATCCATGCACATTTTGTCCCACAACATGGCGTCGCGCACCTTCGCGCGTCAATTATCGAACGCGTCTGCAAGCAGTCTGTTACTACAAGTGAATCAGTATTTCATGATCCGAAATTCTCACTGCACCAGCCCAGCTGCGTTTTGCGCGACATCGCGCAGTACGCGCGACCATGGAGGTGGAATGCGCGACGCTTCGCCTCGGGTAATTATCACCCATCCAGACTCACACCGGTTTTAAACAGAGTGTTTTAATACCTCCGGAACACACATTTAGTCCCTTAATAATATGCAAATAAGATCCCCGGTTTACCGGTATACCACAGTCTCCACATTCGTGAATAAGTGTAGATTCGCACAAGCTATTCATGGACCTTACTTTCTATAATCTACACTTTTAACAACAGTGTGACGTCACAGAAATAGGTTAATCGTGTACTCCGAGTTCGAATCCCAGTGAGCGTTTTTCACTTCTTCTCATTTTACCGTTTTTAATAACTAACAGCGTGGAAGGAACATTTCTCACACGTAAAGCGTATCTTGGGTTGGGGTTGTGGAGAAACAAGGCATTAGATATGCGTGTAATGGACTTATCAGAAGATAGGAAACTGATGTCGTTTGGGAAAAAAACAATTCGCGTCCCGGCCGGAGAGCTGGTTGTTTTATGCAGTGCTCCATGATGCGTGACCCTGGAATGTAACCCAAGGTATCATTGAAAAGCACTAAGCTTCAGCTTTAAGATGATACCATACTTTTTTGTTGGTAAACATACAGTCTGGCCATAATAACCCTTTAAAGTAGGATATGACCTTTTTTGAAACACCCCATGTAGTTGCGCGCATTTGCATTTTCCCAGATATCATCATGTAGTCTTGCCAACCCTCAGAGAAAAATGCCCCAAATGTTGGTACCCATGCCATGTATGTTTTTAATGAACCGCTTTCGCTTCTTGCCTCACTGCCCATGCAGCTATAATATAGTATAGTTTATCATGAATTCAGTGGAGAAAAAAAGCCAAACTATTTACAAAACAGCCGCTGACATTATTATCATCCTTGTGCATGAAGGTTTTCCCAACAACTCCAAACTCCAAAAGGGTTCCGAAGTGTAGTGGTTATCACGTGCGCCTCAAACGCGCAAGGTTCTCCTTTCGCCCCTGGCGAAATTTTTTTTTTCTAAAACGCAAGGAAATTTAATTCCCCGGACGTTTGTTTGATGCTCTGAGTCTGTGTCCATTTGAAATTCAACAAATATGGTGGTTCAAGTATGCTTATAAAACTATAGGTTTTGCACTTTCAAACAAGTACAGTTGTCCAAAATTCATCTTATTACAGCTGAAATGGAGCACAGCTATCGTCACCGACACCACGAAGTATTAATCCACGTGTTAAAGCATATTTTCTTCGATTTTCAGTTTTGTACATTTTTAAACATTATTCATCAAGGCCTACCATCACACGAAGTTTCAAAGCTTCAAGAGCTTTACTTTAATAATTACGCTAATTATCCGTGGCAACTTTTGCGCAAAAGCGACAATTTTCGTTTTCACGAAGTAACACTCAAGTTCCCGGCATTTACCTTTGCAATGCATGGCTCGCACTCTGCTCAAAATGTGAGCAAAACCGTTTTCACGAAGTAACACTCTCCTTGTGTGAGCGCGCGCGCTGACCTGGAGTTGTACTTTCCTCGTGTTGTATACATTGAAGAGTGTTACTTCGCGAAAACGAAAAATTACAGTTTCGCAGCTTTTTCGGTTTCACGAACTAACACTCACCTTTTTTTCTCTTATTTCTTGTTGATTTAATACACAAACGGGTGAAAAACAGCAGATTTTATAAATTTAATTCATCAAGTGTCCACAACGAGAAACCCAACTGAAGGCGTTCAACTTTAGATGCCGTTTTCTCCGATTGCTAGTTTTTACTAGTATGGGGATGGGTGTTACTTCGTGGTGTTGCTGTACTAGACTTTGTTGGGGGCACCTGGGGGTGCTCCAATTTTTCAAAGGGGGCACTGCAATTCAAAACTTCAAATGAAAGGGGGGCACGGGGGCCGTAGTTGTGCCACTGAGTCTGCCTATGTATATTAGATAGGAGCATGATTACTGTCAAATTATTAAGCACAACACGTAATTCCAATATAGAAAGCCCTATGAAAGCTCGTTTGGTGTATGTATGTGTGTGTACGTGTTTGGCGTGGCACATAACACATGCTGTAAAACGTTTCAAAGTAATTAAGCCCAGTTTCGCAACTGCTGCTCCATTTGGTTTGAATGGAAAAACACAATCCCAGATCATCCTAACATTTCAAAAGGTGCATTTTACATGTTGGACATTCCAACAATAAAAACTGTATGGTTAAGCTTGTGTCGCAGTTTGTCTATGGTCTTGTGTTGTCGGGAGTGATCATGATAGGGAGAAATGCAATTCGATCCTACTTGAAAAAAAAGCAAACAGTTTTATAAACGTTGATGACATTCATCGATAGTGACTGTGTTCGGTACAATATTTGCAGGGAGCAAGGTCCTCATTTTCCTGAAGGAGGAACTCAATTGGTTGTGAATATAGTTTCAGGGGAGAAAAAACTCATCTATTTGTTATGATTGGGGGATAAACTGGGTCCAAGAATTCCAGAGGTTGGAGGTTGGAAACCAATCCGATAAATTCACGCATGAATAAACACTGCAGGCAGTAGACCATCGCAAAATCAGTTACACATCATTTATTCATCAGTCACTCGAAGCTAACAGAATTCCGTAGTGTACTGGTTATCACGTGCGCCTAACACGCGCAAGGTCCCCGGTTCGAGCCCGGGCGGAATCTCTTTTTTTTTGTTCGTTCTTTTTTTCTAAAACGTAAAAAAAAAAATCGTGATTCCAAAACGCATCACGTAATACAAGCAGTGTAACTCCGTGAAATCAATCACCAAACACATATAACAAGAACACCAACCACTTAAATCCAACAGGATTCCGTAGTTGTAGTGGTTATCACGTGCGCCTAACATGCGCAAGGACCCCGGTTCGAGCCCGGGCGGAATCTCTCCTTTTTTTTGTTCGTTCTTTTTTTCTAAAACGTAAAAAAAAAATCGTGATTCCAAAACGCACCACGTAATACAAGCAGTGTAACGCCGTGAAATCAATCACCAAACACATATAACAAGAACACCAACCACTTAAATCCAACAGGATTCCGTAGTTGTAGTGGTTATCACGTGCGCCTAACACGCGCAAGGTCCCCGGTTCGAGCCCGGGCGGAATAATTTTTTTGGTTCGTTCTTTGGATCTAAAACGTAAAAAAAAAAAAAAAAAATCGTGATTCCAAAACGCACCACGTAATGCCAGCAGTATAACGTCGTGAAATTAATCACCAAACACTAAGAACATCAACCACTTAAATCCAACAGGATTCCGTAGTGTAGTGGTTATCACGTGCGCCTAACACGCGCAAGGTCCCCGGTTCGAGCCCGGGCGGAATCTTTTTTTTTATCGTCCGTTCCTCTGAAACGCAAAGAAATCGTGATTCCAAACCGCACACAATAATGAAAGCAGTAGAACGTGTGAAATGAATCGCCCAACACACATAACAAGACCATCAACCACTTAAAGAGGTTGTGGAATGCTCGAAGACATTTCCGTCATTTTTCGGGTATATGTAGCCTAAGGTGTGATGAAATAAAAACGACTCTTGTGTCTGTCATGAAATGAGTACAAAAGGTACTTTTGAGAGCTGTTTTCAGGTCCTGTTTCGACCCGAACGTGCAATTTGTGTAAAAGTCGTCGTTGGGGGCAGCAAACAAAACATAGTAAATCGTGACGTAATAAACAGGACTCCCGATGCAGCGTACGCGTAGTATAAACGAGTGCCTAATGTGCATATATCGTAAATGGCCGCCGTGTAATATATTTATTCACAAAATATTTTTTGTACGTTTATGAAATAAAAAAATAGAAAAGTGTATTTTTGGGATCTACTTACATATCCTCACTTATACGAAACATTTTCTAAAACATGTTCTATAAACTCAGCTTTTTGTCCTGTACTAATAAGCGAGTCTCGTCTCTTTGTGTCTGTCTCTCTGTCTTCCCTGCTAAGCATTTCGCTGTGTGATCAGCTAGAGACTTGAAAAGTTTCACACTCACACTGATCATTCATGTACAGGAGGAGAACATGGGACACGAGTGTTCCTAATTAACCTTCCACTAATTAATTATTTACACTCTTCCACTTTACACACTACAACCTAATTTATTGAGATATTATGCAACCACATGGCGCAGCAGCCACTGTATGGTGGGCCCACTGTGTTTATAAGCATCCTAAAATAGCTCCTATATCATCACACCACTTGATAACAATAATAACCTTATAAGTGCTAACTAACACTGAAAAGCTATAACGTGCTGACTGTGAAATGAAAAGGAAACAAAGTTGGTGGAAATGTATTACCCTATACAGGGTGAGTCACAAAAAAAGGAACCCAAAAGGCAGGACCATTTTCTTATAAAGTTCTGCTGTAGCACTTTCAAAATCTACATAGGAGTTTACGTGAATTGTTTTCGTTTTGCTGAAAGAACACTTACCTTTTATGGATCCTTGGACAGAACTTAAAAACGGTGTTTGTGTTTACAATTCCGTAACTTGAAAAAAATCATAAGTGATTTGAATGACTCATGTACTAAAAGAAAGCTTATTAATTGGGGTTTCATATCCTAGATTTTGAAAGTGCTACATGCAGAGCTTCATTACAAAAATGGTCTTTACTTAGCCTGTATAGGCCTTTATCGATATCCAATTCAGACATTCTAAGCAGCCACAACAATACTCATAATGCAGACTGTTGCTCCAAGCTAACTAATAATAAACACAAGACCAGATCAGAGTCTTGGCAAGTAATAACATGGAGATATGAACGGAAGGTAAATAACTTGGTAATAACAACACCAAGCATGTTGTGTTCGCAGAGTCAAAGAACTTGGAAAATATTTGAAACAGGCTGTTTCAAACAATATTACACATTCTTTTGGACTGACATTCATTTCAACAAAACGAAACACAGTACCATTCATTCAACAGCTGAACAAGTCTGTTCTGAATATCTATGCAGTCTGCATGCAGCTGACAATTCAACTGTACTATGTCATTCAATTGCTTTTTTTTTAGAATACATCTTACTAGTTCACTTCCCGTGAGTAGACCGGGATTTACTCCAGTAAGGAAAATAAAAGAGAATGGTAATTAACCCAAGACACATGTTGAAGAGCAGCTCAGACGTACGGTGAACATTGTTTTAACATATTAGTATTGTTATAACATATAATTATTAAATCAGTGCAATGGGCAAATTGTCCTTCGGAGCCGGTGGTTCATATTTAAAACAGAGAATTTTGATAATATCCCACCTGATGGGATTAGTGGCGGCGTAGATGAACGGGATTCAATTGGGGGTGGATTAGTGTCTATAGCTGCATTGGAAAACTGCCTTACAAACCAAGCCATTAGAGCCGGTTCGGTTGAAGTCAGTGCAATGGGCGAATTTTCCTTCGGAGCCGGTGGTTCCAAAAACAGAGGAGTTTGATAATATCCCGCCTGATCCTGGGATTAGTGCCGGCATAGATGAACGGATTGATCGCTGAGTTGACCCACACAGTATAGCTGGCACCATTCCATAACAGCCAGCTTAAATAACCCCCCTTTGCGACAAACAGGAACTTCAAGACGATTAAGGGGGTCTCACATATAAAAAAAACACGCCCACGATAAAGGCCAGCGTGATAGCGGCCTTCCGGTGAGTTTTGTAGGACCTTTTGGTGTCTTGTGATCGGTGAGTACTGTTGACGTGTGAATCTTTTTTAGCACCGGGCTCTGCCGGTGGGTGGATTGTGTCTAGCTGCATTGGAGAGACTGCCGTACGAACCAAGACTTTGGAGCGCTTCAGGATGTTGGCATACACCTTGAAATTCAAGTAGGCTAAGATGATTGCCGGTGCAACGAACCCAACAACTATTTGAGCAATGTTATAGGAAAGAATACGCAGCACGCCGAAATCGCAGTTGACAGAGTAGTTAATACCAACGTCTCCAGCATTGGGCCACAGTTCATTGCCCAAAACTGGGAAAGGATTAAATAGCAACGCGAGCGTCCAGGTACCTGTTATTAGGCCGCAAGCAAGTTTCCTGCTGTTGTATATTCGATACTCCAGGAATTTGGTCATCATGAAATAACGATCAAGACTGATGAGTGTCACTGCGAAGGCGCCCTGCATACACGCCAAATAATCCACGACAGTCCAGAAGGTGCACACGGCTCGCTGAAAGGGCCAGTTGCCGGTATACCGCCAAATATTTTGCATTGTCAACGAGTTCATCCCAACGCACAAGTCGGCGCTGGCAAGGTTTAAAATGTACATATTGGCTATGTTAGACCACAGCTGCTTGTCTCTGAGAATCACTACGAAGATCAGAATGTTACCAAACACCGCCAAAAAGCACATGAGCCATACAATGGTAGATATGACAATCTCGATGGGTAAAGGGTGCGAGAAGGCGTCAAGGAAACTGTAGTCTGAAGAAGACGACGTCACGTTGTCCTCTACGAAGCTTGGAACGGTGGTTGCCATCTTTCAAAGAGGATTCCACTTTAACATCTAGATTAATGGAACTCGAATGCACCCGCAGTCTGACAGGGAAAAGAACATTTATACCTTATATGAAATGAAAGCAGACTGTCAAGTTCAGTGACAGTTCAAGGTCACGTTTTCCTCTACGGAAGCTTGGAACAGTGGTTGCCATCTTTCAAACAGGATTCCACTTTAACATCTAGATAAATGGAACTCGAATGCACCCGCAGTCTGACAGGGAAAAGAACATACCTTATATGAAATGAAAGCAGACTGTCAAGTTCAGTGACCATTCCAACCCAAGAATCTCCCACGATACTCATTTGTGAGATTCCATCCCTTCACTGCTGAACGAATTGTGTGATTATCATCGAAGTGACATTTGGATATAGGAGGCGATGTAACGAAACGACCACAACCAAAGTACCAAAGTCATTCGATTATGCTTAAAATTAACGGTTATTAAAGCAACTCACAATTATCACGTGATTGATGAAACTGTCGAAGAATCACGAGGAAAAGAATGTAGGCAAACAACGCTAAGGAGTTGCGCATTGTCAACGATTGTGGAATTATCGATGGGTGAAGCGTACTTGCCCGGAGAGAGTTTGGGTCTCCATATCATTCAGTCTCATTATTATTATTGGAAGAACTCAGATGACATTACTGAGAGCATACACGTGTGCAAAGAAGTGCTTTCATCTAATATACTTAGTAAATGTATGCAGTATATGCGAGTGATTGCCCCAGTGTTGGAGCAAAGGCTTTGACCCTCAAGGCCAAGGCCAAGGCCAAGGCTTTGACCCTCAAGGCCAAGGCCAAGGCCAAGGCTTCGACCCTCAAGCCTCGAGGCCAAGGCCAAGGCTTAACCCTCAAGGCCAAGGCCAAGGCCAAGGCCCTGTTTTATGAAATGACCACTGATATAGAACTAATTATAGTCACATGAGTGACACATCATCACGCAAGGGCGGATCCAGAACACAATTGGGGGGGGGGGGGGCAAAGAAATGTTGGTGTCCCCCCCCAAAAAAAAAAAGTGGGTCAAAAGATTACGGCTTGGGCTTCGGGGCCCGCTTAAGGGCCCCGAAAAAATTTTGGATTCGAGATGCTCTGTGGTGCGATTTGAGGCAATTTCTGACCATTTTAACCGATGTTTATTTAGGAAAAGATGGTGGTGTACTCATTGCCTGCCTTTATTACGACGTCACATAAAAACAAATGGTTTCGTTTTTTTTGGGGGGGGGGCGTGGCCCCTTTTGACCCCCCTGGATCCGGCCTTATCATCACGAATTGCTCGTTACGAAGAACAACATTTCTTAATTGCAATCAACATGCTCGCATAGGCCTACACCGTTTTATGACTGCACTGTATCTATTAACGTATAAGTTCAGGTCTTCAATATGGTTTAACTAAACAAAATAATGATTTACTTCTATATTGACACACAATTCTCCCAAGTGTAACAAAAGGGGGATCCAAGAAACTGATTTGGGAAATTTTTATTTGCTGGCCCAACATGGTCAGAAATATCAGCATTATCTAAAACAGATACATGCAAATCTTTAGCACTTATCAGGGAGACATATACAACCAATCAAATCTATTCCATAGTTATATGCAATTAAAGTGATCATCTCATTAGCCCCACAAGTGTACGGAATATTGTTGCAGCAAATCTACTACAATGGTAACAACATGTGATGCTATAAAAGTGGAAGTGTGCCTAACACACAAATCTATATGGTGCTTCCCTCCTCCATCGTACATGTAATACGATTAAAATGGTAACAGCAAAATTTCGAACAGATTTATCTGGAAAATGCAAAACTCTATGGGCCTTGAAGAGCCTTGACTCAAAATTGCAAGGCCCTGAACCCTCAAGGCCAAGGCCAAGGCCAAGGCTTTTGCCCTCAAGCCTCGAGGCCAAGGCCAAGGCCCTAAAATCCAGCCTTAAGGCAGCCTTAAGGCCAAGGCCCAGCATCAAGGCACTACATCACTGGATTGCCCACATCTGTAACAAAACAATTCGTTGATATCAACCGATGAATGCTTGTGGATGTTCTGTTAAACTGGGACGATATAGCTACATTGTCGGTCTTATCCACTTGGGGTCACTTTCCTTATGATAGGCCTACATTTAATGTACGTCAATCATAATAACAGAGGAACAGAATTATGGTGGACAAATTTATAAAGTCATCATACACTATGATGTTTCTACGCCATTTTGCAAATCCATATACTTTTGCTTTCATACGGACAAATACACATTATACTAACTGAAGAAGTGCTTAGTTCTTCAACCACACAGTTCAAAGTCTATCGCTGAACGAAACTTTCTTGGCAATGCCTAAGTGTATATGTGGTCGACCACGAGAAATCATTTGGTGCAGCCAATAATTTGTTTTTCGATATTTGAATGTTTCTGACGAAAGACTTTCCGTCTCCTTTGCGGGGGCGGGGACGGGGACGTATACCCTGGGATGGGGCAGGGTTGGTATATTGTGTTTCTTATTCTGTGGATTTCTTAAGGGGTGCCTCGGGTACCGTCAAAATATGGGTTAAAGCTTAAGGAGAATAAAGACTCTATCCCGCTTATTGAGGACATTCTTACAGAATGAGAGAAGCCATTCATAGAATGAGAGAAAACAAACCTACACAAATGTATATATGCTAGATTTATGCCGCATCAGTCATAATTATTTACCATCTTGCCTATTTCTATTTATTTATTTATATATTTTGCATCTTTAGACATTAAAATAAAAGTTGAACAGGGGCTGTCATGGAAATACAAAAAAAAATGAAAGCTGTCTGACCCCTGTCAACAATAAAAGCAAGATAAAAATTTCACTCAAAAAATAAAAATATTAAGTTAACAAATAAAGCTACAAAAACGATATAACTATACATAGCAATATAAAAAAAAACATTAATATAAAAAATGAGACACGCATGAGACAAGAGACAAGTAAACAGAAAACAGTTTTAAAAGATTCTACATTTTTACGTTGACAACCTAGAAAACAAATAGACAGACCAGAGAGACAAGGGAACTCTTAAAAGACAAGAACTCAGACGAGACGAGACAAGACAGACAAGAGACGAGACGAAACGAGACGAGGAAAACGAAGAGGGAGGGGGAGACGAGAAAATGATGAGACGAGACAAGACAGGACATTGGCCTACAAGAAACTAAAAAAGACGAAATGAGACGAAACGAGACGAGAAAAATGATGAGACGAGACGAGACAAGACATACGAGGGATGAGACGAGGCGAGACAAGCCAAGACATACAAGAGACAAGAGGAGACGAAACGGGACGAGAAAATGACGAGAAGAGACCAAAAAAGTAGCAAATCAACAAACAAAAAAACAAACAAACAACCCAACACCCCCAACAAACATACAAAAACATTCACAATCAAATACACTGCAAAAACTGTAGTGTTAATTTAATACCATTCGGTATCTACGTGTATATAGGACAACATTAGTAAAATTTAACAGCAAGGTATCAACTTCGTTACCAGGGTGTCGAGCAGTACGCGCCCACCACTACCTGCTCTCTCACCTTGGTATCGGATCATTTGCATATGTTAAAATTTTTGAACACGTATATGCAAATGAGGACTAGTCTGGTGCCTGCCTGTGCGTTACTTGGCGTTTACTTTTGTATGCGGTGTCTGGGGTAACAACAGAATCCATTCTTCGCGCCGTGAGTTACGAAAACACGATTGTTTTCGAAGTTAAAATGTTACAATCTTATCCCGCCAATATGCAGTATCACATTTCATATTGATATGAGTAAATTGGAAAGGAAAAATATTGTTGAGAAGGCGTGGACGTTATAATTACAATGATCGTGAAAACACGTAATGCACGTTGGAAATAAGAACACCAAGTGGGCCCCCCCCCCCCCCAACGATTTGACCTTGGTGATATGTATGTGGCCTATTTTCGAGTAGTATAATAGGGGTGTAAGTGGCGCCACCAACGTCAAAATATCCCCCCCCCCAAAAAAAAACCCATTTATTTTCTGAGAAAATGTGAGAAAAGAATTGTGAGCCCCCCCCCCCCCAAGCCAAATCCTGGGTGCGCCCCCTGATTTCAGTGTATGCACGCCGAATTGCGAATGAAGGGTGCGGTTTTATACGGTTGTCACGAACAGCCATTCAAGTATGATGTATTTATAATAGTTTGCACTATAAACATTTTGCTACTTTTTAGAAAGAAATAATGTGGGGCAAATTTCGTTCAGGAGGCGATTCACCGAAAATCCTATTGCAATGAATGACAGACACACACACGCGCTAGTAGAGATAGAAACAGCGGTGCAGAATCGACCAAAACGCAGGTTCCATTCGCTGAATTTGGAAATATCATTCCTATACGTTATCGTGTGGAATGGGGACGTTGCTGTAAAAGAGGGGACGAATGATTGGACCGGAGTTATGAGGATGTTTCAGAAATGGACATGTATTCCTGTGTATGGGTACAATATGTACGCGGAATCATGGATTTACATGCTTACACATTTTTCAGTTTCGGGTTCGCAAATTAAGGATTGCGACGGAGTTAATGTTATGACAGTTTCAATTCACCGTGTGAATTAGTAGTAGTGAGTGAGTTGTTGTGTGTTCAGGTGTAGCGTGAATTTACGTTTCTATGAAATTCGGACTCATTGGTAATACCGCGCATGCGTAAGTATGGTAATTAGGAAAGTGACCGGTCACGTGAGAGGGATTAACCAATAATAGGGAAAAGGGGTCCGATTTTCATAGGAGTCGGATTTTCATGTGACACCGGAACGACACTGACTGGACCGAGGTTATGACATTTATTTTCCACTCTTTCGCATGTCTGTAAAAAGTAGTGCATAAAAAAGCTTTTACATCATGAACTTGTGGTCATTCTTTTTCTGTGTGGTCTGAAAAAGAAACGTCGCTTGAACCTGGGTAATGACACGTATTTGTGCGTGTGCTCTTGCGCTGAAATAATTTACTTTATCGGAGTCAAAAATGTCTCCATTTAGGCGGTTCCTCCTCTCACATGAGCTGCGGATTTTCCCCGATGCTTCACTATGTGTGTGGTTCATTTTGCTGTATTAGGGCGACCGCTGCTGGGACCGAGGTTATGACAGTTATTTCAACGGTTTCACGCCCGCAGCTACTGCACATTTTTAAAATCAAGAATGTACCTATTTGGGAAGTTCCCCTCCCGCCTTCGATCGAGCAAGATAATAAATAACGGCGACTCACAGAGTTTCAAAATGTCCCCATTTAGGCGGTTATTCTCGCTGTTTCGGGCTCTATCAAATCCTATACTTTATCGTGGGAATTGGTCACAGAGTGGTCCAAAGGCAGCTCGCGCTTGGTACCCAGGTTATGGCAGTTTTTCTTTGCGGCTTCGCACGCGCCCTTTACCATACAACGGCGAATCAAGAATATGGCCATTTAGGCGGTTATTCTCGCTGTTTCCATCTATCCCATCAACCACCCATCCCAATGCTTTATCGTACGAATTGGTCAAAGTCCGGATCCAAAACAACACACGATGGAACCCCGGTTATGGCACGTTTTCTTCGCTGTTTCGTATGCGCCTCTACAGTACAATGGCGGAATGAAGAATGAGGCCATTAAGGCGGTTTCTTCTCCCTTCTTCGAGCACGGACTTTTCCCATTCTCTTACACTGTGTCGAAGAATAACGGTGGTTGGACCATGGTCAATTGGACCGAGATTATATATTATGGCAGATTTTTTTAGGCGGTTTCGTTTGCGTCTCTACTGTACTGGCGGAACCAACAACCAGACAACGAGGCCAATAAGGCGGTTTCTCTCCCTCATGTCAGCTCGCAGCGCTGAAATGACATGAATTCCATTTCTTGTGAAGTTATACCTACAGCATTTCGTCACTATTTGTCAACAGTCTTGTTTCAGAAATCTGAATTGTGAGTATTGTTAATAAATATTAGTTTAAAAGTAGGTTGAAAGGTCGGGTTCGGTTAATCAACATCAACATGGACCGGACGTGGATGGATGGATTTACATGCATGACATGTATGTTTTAGTAACTTGGATACGGACGCGATCGCGAGTGATGTCTACAAACCGTGCAAAGGGTAGGGAGAGACGTTTATTTCCGACATGTCAAGCAATTATTTTACACTTGAGTACATGTAGTCCTGCCTGATAGGTGTTCACGTTGTATTGCCACCCTTGAAGCATTCTAAAAACATTGAGGCGATTGGACTGGTGTTGCAGTTAAAACAGACAGTGCAATGTTGAGTTTGTAACCAGGATTTTTCTGAGATTAAATTTTAAACTACTGTAGGCTAGTCAAAATATTCAGTTGGTTCAACTTGATATATTCTTACTGTCATTAAGCGAATAGGGGCCAAGTGTTCTGATTTCTGAAAGAAAGCAACCAAATGGAGTGATACAAATTGTGAGAATAAATAAATTGGATATTTTTCTTCATGTTGTCACTTTTTTCCACTATGTTTTCTCTGTGTGGGCATTGCATTTTATAATTGTTGACTGCTGTGATGTGGGATAGGCTATAGGCCTAGATATGATGTTTTTAACACCAAGGGCGCCCCGAGCCCCACATTACAGCAGTCAAAAAATGTTTTGTTGTATCGTGCCAATACCTCCAAAAGATGGTTGTGACTTATTTGTGAGAAAAAAAAAAACTAAGGGTTTTGATATCTTGCCCAACATTCTAAGTCTGTAACTGTGTTTTAGACGTTGCAGTTCTCATTGCGCAAAGCTATAGCACACCGGCAGGTTCCACATGCACACATAACGCACGCAATGCACGCAATGAACGCAGTGCGATATCACCCTCAGTGTGTGACATGCAGTGTTATCGTCCGTACATCTGGTCGTCCTAGACCAATGAAATGACAGTATCCTTGCACGCGATACATTTATTACAAGTTATCCCTGCTTTTTTTTGGACGAAACAGGTCCTAGGGTCTATGCGGATACAAGTTTGCTTGAAGATAAAACAATAATACATTTTTACAGGGCATGTTGATGGGTGGTCGCATTGTTCCTGAACTTGAAATAGCCCTTTAGGTTGTTTTGTCTTTATAACGTATATGAATTTAAATTTATTGAGTTAACAGAAGAACCAAAGACTGCTCTTTGCACTGTTTGAAAAGACAGCCACGATACAATGCATGGCTATCAATAGTATCATCATGAACATGTAGCATATACTTGCTTGAATAATATTTAATGTCTTTTCTTTTTCCTTCTATTTATCTTTCCTTGAAGAAAACAAGGGGTGTTGAAACAGCCTACATTGTACATGTGCACGTGTATGTAACTGGTAACCGACCGTAGAAATGGGAGATAACGTACCACTACTCAATGAGTACAAACAGGAATTTTTCTGGAAACGTTTTCCCCAAACGCTACTAGGCGGACTTAAGCTGCGGCTAGGCTATGATGCTCCAGTTTACGTCTACCTCAACCAGATCATACTGTTCGTCATTCCTTTCATCATTGGTGGGATATTCTCACTTCTCGTAGAGCTAGCAAGCGTTGACATCCTCATAGCTTGCTGTGTGGTCGGTGGATGTGTGGGACTTTATGTCCTCTCAGCGCAGTTGGTCAGTTTGCTGCTTCAGAGGAGAACGTCTAATTCAGTCAGGCCAAATATCGGGAACATCCTCTCAGATGAGGATGAAGTGGACTTTGAATCTTGCTTCGGGCCTGAGACGTTAGATTTTGTCGTCCCGGTGAAGAAATGGAAAATCAACATCTTGTTCCACGCAGTAGTGTCGGGGGGCATGGCTGGTCTTGGATTTCTATATCTAGTCCCAACCACCTTGAATGCACTGTATAGTAATAACGTCGGAGCAACAGTGGTCATTTACGCACTGGGATGGTTTGCAATATGCATCGCTCAGTATCCGCTCACTGTCACGTCACCACCAGAAGCGGCCGTTTTCAGAGCCACGGATCCGTACGAGACCATGCCAATCATGCGACCTTTTCACGTGTGTCTCTTCTTTGCTGTTGATTTAATATGGAGGTGAGTTTTTTCCTCGGACACAAAAAAAATTAGTTTGTCCTGAAAATATTCTGCAAGTGTACTGTGCTGATGGAAAAATTTGGAATTGTTTGTTTTAGTAAGAGGCCCAAAAACACTTTTGTCGTTAGAAATATTGTCAAAAGTTGGTGGTTTTGATGATGAAAATTTGCTAGTGAGTATCTAAACACCTGCAATCGTGGACCTAGGACAAAAGGGTTAGGGCACAAACACGATTGACCGATAGCCCACAATTGAAATTCGTGTACAAAACCAATGAGAACTATTGCTAAAAAGTTAGTAGTATAAACAAAGGAATGAGGATGAGGGAAAATGGGGGGTCCACGATTGTTGGCGTTTACAAAGATGCGTATGAGTTTGTTCCTGCATTCAATAGGGGACGTTGAACAATAGAGGACAATAGAGTCCCCGATTCCCGAAGGTCCCCAATTTGGTGATCATGAACAAAACATATGGGAGGTCTTCCTAAAAAGTTAAGAGAAACAAAAGAGGGACAATAGGGGGTCCTCGATTGCAGGCAAATACACACTTGTGTGGTTTCGTTAGTGTCATCTGTGAAGTGCACTTTTATTTGTTAAAAATTGCAGAAATGCTGTAAGTAGGGGATGTGCGAGGGGCTAGTTTTATGTACAAACTGTATACACATAATGATGTGCTCAAAACATTTATAATGAAGCTTAATGCCAAGTACAATGAAAATGTTATGAACAGATTCTGGTTTACATGGTCCATAAGGCTGATTTTTGTCAAAAAATACATCCATCCTGTTTGTTATTCTTCAAACCTTCTGATTAAACTGTCTTTCTTGGGGGGGTTTTCCCAAAGGTCCTATCCAGAGATCGTTCTAGTGAATCAGATCCTGCATGTCGTCTTTGTCTTCCTGCCGGTTCTCTGGGTGATTGGTCTGCTGCCCCCTGTTGATGCCCTCTTGTTGTGGCTAGGAGAGCAGACGCTTGTCTTGTTGTTCGGAGGGTCTCCAGTTGCATCTGATCTAAGGTAAGACTATACAGCCACTATTTCAGTGTCATAGTTGAGGTGCTTGTCTGTCACAAGTCCTTCACAAGTCAACTCACAAGTCAACTCGCAAGCTATGTTAGTGAACTGTGACAAAAGCATTCCTCTGTTATTGTTCATCCCCTGTGTTACATGTACTTGTGACTTGACTTGTGAATTTACTTATGATTTACTTGAAACCTGACTTGTGGTCCCCTGTGATATCTGTCACAAGTATCTCAACTGCAACACTGTATACACATGGTGGGCCATATGTGTCAATGGTTGAGGCTGGTGGGAGCTCGAAAATCAAAAACAGGGCTTGAATTTAAATAAAAATCCATAGGACTAAGTATCCAGATCTATTTGCACAAAACTGGTGGCACGAAGAAAAACACTAAATATTTTTGTGATAATTTGAAAAGGGTGGTGTTGAGTGCACAAGAACGTTTTTTGGAAAAAGAATTGAAAGATGAAGTTTGTTAACCCTCCTGCTGTCTGAACAGTCACAGTCAGTCAAAAGTCAATCCTCCCCTGCCATGCCTTTACAGACAGGCTGGTCAACAACAGTCAAATCACATCTGTGGTAAGCACTGTGACGAGTCAAATTCTATCAACCGACAAAAGCAGGTATCTGGTAGGCACAGCTGGCTTGTCAATCACCTGAACAGGTACATAAACAGTCACAGCCAGTGAATCCTGCTTTGTGTAGGCGCGGAGCTCTTAACTGTCAAAGACAGTCACTTGATTGATTTTGACTGGAGGGACAGCTTGGTCCAGTTTGTCAGCTAGAGTAAGAGGGTTTTTAATAGACTAATATTTGACTTGATGTAACGGGAATATCAAACGCTGCATCTTGCATGAAATCAGTTGTGGGGGGGGGGAACCTTCTAAAAACAAGACAAAGTGTAATATATGTTCCAAAGGGAACTGTAACATTGTTGTTTATTGAATTTTGCTTTTTAATTGCTAACATTACAGGTTGATTCTGATGTTACTGGCATCAGGAGTCACTCTACTGATTGCCTATTTTCTGCCATCCGACATCGGCATTGTTGTCTTCTCAGCCTGTGTGGGATACCTACTGAGCCTTGACCTGAGCAGCTTATTTAACCAACTCATTGATTGGTGCAAGTCAAGACAGCACAACAGACTACAGTCTCTGAACAACCAATCAAGAGCTGTGTCTAAACAATCCTTTGGCTGGAAGTGGGGATGGAGGGAAACCCTCGTGCATTTTGTTACGCTGCTCGTGATTGGTGGGATATCTTTCACTTGTGCATACTTTAGAGCGTCAGCCAGTGAGACCCTCCGTAACATCCTTGGTTATGGCATGGTTGCTGCCCGATGCCTGTTGAAGGTTTTGGGTGATGCTCAGTCAGTTTATGTGTTCTTTGGACTGTGGCGGAATAAACTGTTTCCAGCGAGCATACAGAACACATCAACCTACAGCAAACGCAAGAGGATTCTTCACAGACTGTCTTACTTGTACCGGATTTTTCTACATGCAGGTAAACAGTCTTATACTCAAATCTCAGACTTTTAAGAGTCTTAGCTGTGAATCCACTGAATCTACATGTAAGTTTGAAGACATGCTGTTCAAATGTCATGCAGATTGGAAGTGATGTGGTCAAAAATTGAGTCAAAAAAAAACTCCAAATATGTGATGCGATCAAGCTACACGAGTCGTTTGTCGGGAATTTCATTTGGAGATACAGGCCAAAATAGGGCCACTTCATCACATAACTTCATCACATCTCTTGGTGTTCCGACTTCCATAATTTTTGAACTAAAGATGGTATCGGCATGCGGTTTTCACAGCAGTAATGCTGAGATTGTGCTCTTTTCAAATCTGTAATAAAGAATTTTTGACCAGGGTCGACAAACAACTCATTTAGCTTGATCGCATCACATGTGGTTTTCGTTTGGTCCTTGATGCACGTATACCATGGATGCCAAAATGTCTTAGACGTTTGCGAAAGTTTAGCTCTACTAACCATTCGCATTGCATTGATTGCCACACTGTGACACTAGAATGTTAGGCATCAAGTGTGATGAGCAAAAATGACTATTCATAAAAAAAAAAAAAAAATCTATTCATATCTATGTTATGCCACCTTTCCTGTTTTGAATTGATGGTCCAATCAAGAGGTTTTGTAGTTGTCATCCTTAAAATTGTATTCCATTTTATCACATTTTTGTTTGTTTCTTGCAGTTTCTCCCTTGTTGGCGTTATCGTACCTAGCTTTGTTCCTTGCTCCAACCACTATCACTCTACCATCATTCCTGTTTGCCCTTGGATGTGTGCGGGCATTGAGATGGGTAAGCACACAGGCTGCTTGAGAAATTGCTCTTTTTACCCCTTGCTCACTAAAATGTGTTGGCATCATTGAAGCTAGTCCTTGCAATTAAAGGGAATGTACACCATTGGCTTTTGCTGTAATTGTCAGAAATGAACTATTTGGGGGGTTAGTATAATAGATCAAATTTTGTTACACTGACATGTTTGAAGTTTTTTGTTCGAAAATGCTTGAAAAACCAAGAAAAACAAAAATGTTCAAGTAGTCTGGTTCCCTGACTCCACCAAAGATAAAATGGATCAATTTCCAGATGCCGGAAAATTGTAAGGTAAGGGAACAAGTCTAGCTGGCCTACACCCGTTCATAAATATGTAACCAATAGCAAACAAAATTTGAACTGAATAAAAAATGGTAAATTTGGAGCAGTAGTTGCAAAATAGTTCGGTTTTTCCAACGGTGGTCGGCCGACCACCGTTGGAAATGTATACAAAAATACCATTTTCTTGAAAATGACTTCACACCAGGTGCCATAATTTTACAGGATGCTTTAGACTGTCATTTACCAACATCCTAGTAAGGTATTTCGTAAAAACTTGGTAGTTTTATTTTTCAATGATTGCAAATGTTGTATATTCCCTTTAAATACTTTCATACACATCATTACTATCAATGCACATGAGTCCAAGCTGTTAATAATGAGCATGGTTTAACAACTACATAGCAACACGTGCAGGAGAAGCATTGTGCTAGCTATTGTTCAGATAATCCGTTACAGGGCAGATGTATTCCCAACGGCGTGCACAATGATTTCTCCATTGAAGGCGGCCTCAGATAAAAAAAAAAGTTCATGTGTACTCTGCCATACTGGCAGAATCTAGAGCATGTAATGATTCCATCAGACTGGAAGAACACTTATCATTGTAAGCCAGTCCCATGTCATTCAGTCCAAAATGAAGTCACAAGTTATCCAAGTGAACCAAGTTATCCAAGTGAACCTCCACTGTTACTTGTGACCAGATTTGTTAGTTAGCTTGTTTTTACTGATGACCAGACTTGTGATAGACTTGATTACAACATGGCTAGTGATACTACCAACGCTTGAAAGGTTTTAAATTATCCCTTTAAAATTGTGTTTTTTATGTTTCTTTCTAGATCTGGCAGGACACACCTGGAGCTCTCCTTGAGTTGTCCATAGTCCATCTCATCAACTCTATCCTGTCCATAGATCCTTCCTCCTGGTGGGTCACAGCAGGCCTCGGCATCCAGCAGTTACTTGTTGGAGCTGTCTTATCACGCCTCTTTGAGCTTCTTGACAAGCTCTACTGCTTCTTGGTCATCCTGGTCACGTCTTACTCCATCGAGAAGCAGCGGCGGTCATCCAGCATGCCACTCATTGTGATCACAGTCATTCTCCTTCCCCTCGTCTTAGTTATCATTGCCATAGCGACCGTCCTATCAGCGCCCCTGCTGCCGCTCTTTACCCTTCCAATCTTCCTGGTTGGGTTCCCCCGTCCGCTCAGGTCCTGGCCTGGTGCCATCGGGGCATCAGCTAATACCTGCAGTGATAGTATCTACTACAAGCAGCTGGTTCCCAAGCTGAGTGCTGCACTGAGCAGAGCGATTACCGATGGAAGTCTTGGTAAGAACTATGAATTAGATTCAGTTTGTGGTTGCTCAAAGTGACAAGGAATCTCTTTTGTGACTTTTTGTGGTACAACTAAAAAGAAGCAGTGGGAAACACAACATGTACAGTATGCTGTGCCTGTTGTCAGGAGACTGAGAAACTCTCAAAAAAAACATTTCTTGTCACGTAGTACAGTGCAACTGCAACACCATGCAAACCTTCAAATTTCATGAAAACTGGTTTTCTGTATAAACTTTACTGTTAGCAATAAATGCACAAAATACAGTGTTGTTGACAGACACTCGAGCGCAATTCCAATCATTTGCCTGCATGTTTTGCACATTCAGTTGAAACTTGGTCATGTGTGCACATGCAGTGTTTCCTTTGTTTGCTCTTATGAATAAGCCAGACAGTGCCATCTAACTTTAACAGTGAGATCATGAGCAATTTTGAAATCCACATCTTTTTAAGTGATGTACTTCAAAAAGCTTGGTTGAGACTTTATGTTTGCAATAAATATCCTCATCGGCGATAAACTTTAATGCTATACTATGCTCTCTTCACGTGAGCTATTACACTTGGTAGTTTACCAATGATGAAAATTGAATTTGTGCTGTTTAGCAGCCTATCGCGGTAGAATCACGTCAACGCAGCTTGAGATCCTACGGGGTGGAATATTGTGTTCTCGGAATATATGGCATTCACTGAGTTAAAACTTTGTAAGGTTTAATTTTTATCAAACACCCATCTTTAGATTTTGAGCACTGTTGTTGTTTCAAACACAAAATGAACAAATGACAAATGATCTACCCTACCTTTAATAGTTAACAGGCCAAAGCATGGGGACTCAAAATTTGGAATTCCACTTTGTTTTTTGCAGGTAATCCCACAGCAGGTTGCTACTATCTTGTGCGTTTTCAAGACCGTATGGCCTGGATTCAAGTCCTTGAGGCAGGCTTTGGGTTTTGCATCCTCAGCATCAAAGGCATGGAGCTCCAGGAAACGTCTTGCCACACCGTAGAAGCCGGCAGACTAGACGACATCTTTGAGACAGCATTCGATCGCTCCGGTGGCTTCCCAGTCTGTACCTTCAATCGTTACCCCATGAACACCCTCACACCCGTTGATGCAGTTCCTGTTGATACGTACTCCGATGCCCGCAACGTACTGACCGGGATAATTGACTCGCCTGATATCCTGAGGAGTATCGACAAGAGCTTTGTGCAGACACTTGTCTGGGTCTTCCTACACCATAACAGCCATAGACATCATGATGGCAACAACCTGGCAAAGTCGCCCACTCCGCCCAAGGCTACTTCCCCAAGAGAAGCTGCTGACAAGTGTCGGACAGGAGACTCATCTATGAAGCCCGAGGGAACCAAAACAAGCGACAACTGGGAAAATCGAGACAGCGGCAGGCCATCCAGCATCCAGTCCAGACCCAGGTCCCAGGCCAAGCCACGGGCCTCTTCCTGGGGTAGCCTCAAGAGCTGGGAGGATGACGACTCACTGGACTTTGATCTAGATGAGAAGCCTAAGAAGCAGGGCTTCAGCCTGGCCAGTAGATACAAAGACACTCACAGACCCAAGGAATCCCCTGCACTGCCTGGAGCCTTGGAAGGATTCACGGATGACGAAGAGGAAATCCTCAAAGAGCTTAACTTTGGTCTGTCTTCTGTTGTCAACACAAAACGAGACCAGCAGATTTTTCCAATGCATTCCATGCCAAATAAGTCTCTCAACTTAGCAGGCTCTGTCCAGTTTTCTTCCCGTTACTCCTCCAAGCTGAGTCTCCCTCTCAAATGGCGACACCTCCCCATCGACCTGAGTCGCATCACCTCCCTCTTCAGTCGCTTCCCTAGAGACTGGTATTGCCACGTCCTGCGACAAATGGATCTATCCCGGGGAGAGAACAGCGCCAAAGATATCGCAGACGAGATTGCATCTGATGATGCGCTGACCACTATGTACACTCATCTGACCATGGCGTGCTATGCAGTGGTCAATCTGTTTGGCCTGAGTGGTCAAGATGTGGTGTCCGCGGGGGCAAGCCATGTGTATAAAGTTTACAGCGGTGATGTCCCATGGTCCACCAATCTGGATTGGTTGAAGGAGGATGAGGAATTATTTGCATTGGTCATTAAGGCTTACAGGTAAATAATAATTGATTTTTCTTTAATCCTCATACCCCCCCCCCCCCCCCAAACCACTTTGCCTGTTACTCCTCATATCACCTCAAAACTACACCAGTACTCCATGGTTTTTATTGATGTATGTAGGAGTAAATACAAGGTAGTACAAGCAAAGGTGTAACAACAAACACAATACCGATATATCTGTGGGATAAATGTTTCCTGTGCCACAAAGTATAAAACAAATAGTGTAAGCGCATATTTGGAATTTAGTGACAAAAAAATGCTATATTATGTCATAGGGCAGAGGGAAAAAAAATCACCAAAATTAAGCAAAACAAATGATTTGAATTTTATTTTATCTATACATGCTATAACAGGGGTGTTGAAGCATATTTATCATGTTTAACAAGTGTTCTTCCCCGAAATTTTGGTGTAACATATTTCACAAAATATAACGTTAGTTTTGTAGCAAAACTTTTTTAAGCGAAATATCCACATGTTTAAAGAAAAACTTTCCACAAATCTCATCACAACATCAAGGTCCCAAAAACTTGGTGTGGGGTTGGACACCATGTGTCTAAATGCTAACTTAAAAGGCCATTTTAAAATTTGAACTGCACCATTCTGTCTTACAGGTTTGCCTTCAAGCTTGCGTACGATCAGGCTGTGCTGGGAGAAGCAGAGGACTTGGAGGAGATTAGCGAATATCTTCAACAGTACGAGACGGACTATTACTTTGGCAACGACAGTGAGACAGAGTGGGCGGAGTCTGTGGAAAAGGGGGTGCCCCAACTCTTCTCCCTGGTCCATGACGCATCCGAGGTAGATTATTTCTCAGAGGTTAATGTACCGAAGACTTCATTGGTTTCTTGTGGAGTTTGGTGCAGTCAACAATTAGTGCTCAACAGTGCAATATACATGACATATACAAATACATGTACATGGAGAGAAGTTCGTGTAAATGACGTACATGTAAAGCAAAATTACTGGTCCTGAGTTGTTGGCTGCTTTGACTACCTCCTGATATGAAGATCAAGTAACGTGTCCATGGGCGTCACCAGGATTTTTTCTAGAGGGGGCAAAGCAAATTTTTTCCCCCGAAATCCCAGTACTTTTCCAACATATTTTTGATTTATCATTTTTCAAGGGTGGGCAGGGACATTTGCCCCCCCCCCCCACCCCATTAAATTAACAGCAATATGAATTCGCCCCTCTTTTTCTTTCGTTTTTGCCCTTTTTTTTCCCTCTTTTTTTTCTTTTCCAGGGTCCTTCCCCTTCCCCCCCCCCCTCGCGACGCCCATCGAACGTGTCAAAGGACACAACTATTGCATATGACATTGAAACCCTTGAACAAATACTTGGCCCCCTTTCCTTTTTTGGTGAAATGGTACAAATGTAACTTGTAGTATTTGGGTCATTCTTAAGGGTCCAAAGTGTGACATTTTTTCCCATTCCTGTAATTGCCTTGGTACTTTGTAAATTGCCATTCAAGTATCATTAAGAATGACTTCAAATGATTTTTTTATTTGTTTGGATAGTAACATTGGTAGTTTGCTATTCATAATCACTCTTGGATCATGACTACATTAAGGAGTGCATCATTTGTCAGTGGATAATAATGATGTTTATGCTCTGATGTACACCGTAAACAGTTTCCGTAGTATTTTGTTCTTTTTTTCTTGTTGGTCAGGGTGTGTATAAAGGTCGCGTGCTGACCCGCCAACCAGTCATGGCCCACATCGGCAGACTGAACTCAGAGGTGGTGCGATCGCTGTGGGCTTCACTGAACCTAGAGCTGCTCTACTTGACCAACGACGATGAGGAACGTTACAGCATCCAGGCGCATCCTACCATATTACGGAACCTGACCACACAGGCTGCAGACCCGCCACTGGGCTATCCCATCTATGCATCGCCGCCAGTCACCATACCAACTTTGTAGATGGCCGACAGTGATGTATGAAGTATGAACACAAGAAGGGACTTGAAATGAAGGTGCAGGCACCTCACATTAAGTAATACTGGTAGTTATATCCTTTCCAACTTGTAACTATTATTTTAAAGTCATAAATATCTAACACAGTTCACCCATTCCCATTGGTCGAGAGCCCGTCATGTGGCCGGTCTTAAACGGATGATAAAGACATGGCTGGCTGGTCTTAAAAACTTTTCCAGGGTCACATGAAATTTTGACTTCAATGAAATCCAGTGCCTTTAACCGTTTTATTGGTTGAATGTTCACAATTCTTACGTAGGCATGTTCAATACCAGTGAGTCAGAATTTCATAGTCTAGTCCTAAATTCACACTCACCACAGCTGCATCTGTGCATCATGATCGCGCAGTACGCACAACATGCCCGCCAATCTCAATAAAAGGAGTTGTTTACATCTTACTCGTGAGCTGGACACTCCATTATATAGCTGGGGTGTTTTGAAAAACAGATAGTAAAACTGTTTAACAAAATCGTTGGAAATTTTTATTTTTTGACTTGTTTTGACTTTTGGACCGAAAAGTTTTGATTTTAATACCAAAAAGGTATTTATTAATCAGAATAAATATGTGCTTGGTTGGTATCAGTATTAAACACTATGTTGGTTGGAGTCTGGAATGCTGATAATTTCCAGACTCCAACCAGTCTTAAACATAGTGCTTAACACCCCCCAAGCACACATTTATTCCCTTATAATAAATTATTTATTGTTAGTGATTATCATGTTGGTTCCCCCTTCCCTTGGGCTACCCCACGGTACCCATGTAATGGGAATTGTCACTGAGAGTCACTTAATCCCCACCCCCTAAGGAACCACTACCTGTATCAAAAGTTCAGGAGAAATTTTTTATTTTCTGTTTAACGAGGAAACTTCAACCTCAGATTTTAAAAGTGTGACCAAAACCCCACACAAGAGGCGGGGCAGTATGAGGGGAGGGCAACCAACAGGCTCAGCAGTTTTATCTTCAACTCGTGTGCGCTTTTCACATTTTCAAACACTTCTCATTGTGTTTCTGTCTTGCTAGATTTTATTCATTAGCTGTATTCATGTTTATTGGTTTGGTTCCTTTGCCGAGTTTGTCACTGAGTTTACGATGTGAAGGTGTGATATGTTTTATGTTCCATTTGGTATAAATTCAATATCAAATGGGAAAACTGGGGAAGCTTCAACATCCAAGTTCAGAAGATGCCCAATACATACTTAATGTCAAAATATCAACTCATTCAGTCAGCTTTATAAAATTTTCTCATGATCAAAAAATGGCACAATTCTCCAAAACAGAAGTTGGTACCAGGGTAGTCCGAGGATCGGAAATTCACCCGTGCAGAGCCACACTACAAACGTCTGATGCATGTACATTTGTATATCCGTTCATGTCAATTTTATGGAAAACCATGCGCCTGCCAAACAGAGCCAACTTCAGAAGTTTTGACATCATTTAGAGCAGAAACTCTGCCAAAACTGTTGATTGGTCAATAGCTGCCATATTACACAACATGGGGTTACCGAAGACACCATAGAAGGTGCCTGCTGAGTGGTCAGAATTTGTATGGTAAGACACAGTGTTATGTACAAGTCAGAAAGGTTTGCCGTGCCAGAGTCTATTCCATATACTAGGTCCCGGGAAGCTTGGAGGGGGATTTTTCTAAGATAAGAAACATTAATCCAATATGAAAAAAGGAATCTACGTGTGTGAGACCTTCAATGCAATTTGTATTTTGTACTGTTGTAAAATTGTAAATGCAGTGTTTCTGTATATAGTGAGAATAGAATATTTATGATAGAGTATTTATGACTTTGTACTTGAGAATTGAGAATTCTTTGATACCCGTGTTTTACTTTGCCTTCATATAAACGTCTCTACAAATACCAATAAGCTCTGTTGTACACTATGGTTTTACCGATGAAATAGCTCGTCGGATCCATTCCTGTGGTGAAAGTGAGAGTACGCATCATAATTTATATGTGACATATACATTTATAATGAATTAACATCTTGCACTTTTGTTAAGTGCGAGAGTGGTGTGATTGCTTTTGATGCATATTTTATTTTCTCTTGCAAATAACGATGTTTATATATCGGTAATGTTGTAATCATCTGGAGACAATTTCTCAAAAACATTTTCTTGCATCGGATCCAGGTTGCAAATGATTTTGTGTATGTATAGTGTGCCTGTTCTTCTTGAACTTAAGCTTTATCCATATGGAAACACAGGGATACCGTATCCGGTTCGTTAGTGTGACGTCACCTCCAGCACTTTCTGCACCGTTTGGAACCGGAAGTTAACGCAGCTCGAGCGTTTGCAGCCAATGGGCGCTAGTAATCAGTGGTGCGTGCGCGTGTATGACGTTTTTACTAACGAGCTGGATAGTGTGCCTGTTCTTCTTGAACTTAAGCTTTATCCATATGGAAACACAGGGATACCGTATTTAATACAGGTATCAGGGTGGATACATTAATTTAGACAATTCTGTATTATTTTCCACATGTAGTTGGGAAACTTTTAATAATTGAACTGGTTTGTGTGTGTTTGGTGAATGTAGCCTGGCACTTCATCGTACCTCTCGAAGGTTTATATTGTCTCCCTACTAAACACCGATTCTGTTCAGGTCAGTTTGTTTGGTAGCTGGGAACAAATTTCTTTTCTCGATAGTAGTCTATTTGCGAATCACCTTGAGAGTTTGTATTTATGTGTGCGTGCGGATTTCTTGGACAACCAAACAAGGCATCTTTTGTATATTTAAATATTCATATATTAGGGAAAAAAGTAAAGTCAGGGATGTAAGTAGACTCATATTTTTTTAAGAAATCAGTGGTATACAATCAAGTATATGCCACCAATAAAGGCATTGATAATTTTAAAAATGGAAATCCTGCAATTGTAGAATTTGCAGGAGGCTAATTACATACATCCTGTAAAGAATATATATCCCTCTGAAATGTTTACATCTCAGTAGAAGTTTTACAATGTTTCAGCAATATAGTAGGAGTCTTGTGTGTGCCGTTTACAAAAAAGTCCTCTATTTTTATTTGATGTTTAAAAATAAAAAAGTTTCAAGCTCTGGCAGGAGCTTCTACATGTCACTTTGTTCTTGGTCGGTCCGTTGGTCTGTCCTCAGAAAATTGACCAATAAAGGCCCCTAAGTTTCCCATAAAATACCAAATTTTACTTTCACAAAAAAAGCAAACAAAATAATTTAATACTTCACAAATATAGTGTGTACAAATTTGTGAAGTTGCTTATGGAAATGTTGTAATCGGAGGCAAGATATGTGTAGTAATGTTATAGTCACATGGTATACAGTGCGCTATAATTCCGTGCAAAAAAGCACGCTATGTTTTATGGGAGACTTAATTTGGTCAATTTCTTCTCGAGAGACAGTGCTCGGGATGCCGCGCGTGGGATACCGAATGTCGTAGCCCTGGCTTGTACAATCTCCGGTCAACATTAAAGACTTTCATGGAAGATGTCCAGAGCTTACAGTGCCCTCACACTTGTGAAAATGCATGTAAAAAAAACAACTTTTTCCCACAAGTGTGACCACTCTCAATACAGTGTGAAGTTATGTGCTGTTTCAATTGAATAATATGGAGCATTTAATAGCTTTCTCAAATGTATTTTTTCTATATATAGTAAGTAAATTAAAAAACCAATTAAAGAATTTAAACTCTTTCATAATCTCAATCAATTTTATACGAATGCTTTATTCAATTACAATGGCAAAAAAAATATGTTAACAATAAATTATCATATCTACAAATCATTCCTGATGTTTGTATTTCAAAAATCTTGAAATTACCAAAATAATCCATGCAATAATATTTAATTGAATACATCACATTATGTCCACAAAGTTCAAGTCAGCCTGGACAACAAATTTCAGCCTGGCACTCTACATCTTTGGTTTGTCTTCTGACTTTGTACGTAAATTCTCCTTACAAAACTGTAATTAACCACAATAAAAAAAATCTCAAAATTGTGAGGGTTTGCGGTAAGATGTGTGGTTCTGAAAAAGAACCGGTTGGTTTGAAACTTAACGTTCCAATCAGTATGCTCTGAACATCTTCCGGAGAAAGCCGGACAGAGTGGAAGGGGCTGCATTTACAGGGCTGGATGATAACTGAGGCGTGGAGTTGTGGATGCTGATGAATGTACAGTTGACTCTCATCGTCGACTAGTACAAACAGTGTTAATACAAATTCTCGTTATAGCAAACATAAAGCCTTGGTCCTGACTGTGCATTTACCAGTATGTGCACAATGACTGGGATTGATGCTCCTCTTTATACAAAGTTCTGATATAACAACCATTTTGGCTAGGTCTGGCCGAGTTTGTATTAATGAGAGTTGACTGTAGTCATGGTAGTTGGCTGGTTGCTGGTGGAGGCTGATCGCTGAGCCGAGGCGGTGAGGATGCAGTTGGTTGGGGGCAGCCAACTACCAGCATCCACAACTCCATGCCTCAGTAATGATCCAGCTCTATACATGCAGCCCTATCCACTCCATCCGGCTTTCTCCTGAAGACGATCAACGTATACGGATCAGAACGCCTAGTTCACAACCAACTGGTTCTTTTCTAGAACCACACATCTTCTCAAAAAAGATTTGTCGATATATGGTGTTACTGTAAACCCTCACTACTTTACACTTTACTGCCATGCAAAGTTTCAAATCTTATTTAAAAAATTTCTTGACTTGACTTCAATTGTAAATGCATCCCTCTACAATAAAACTTTATATTGAATTGAAATCCTTCAATTTTTTTATGTTTTTTTAAATTGAACTTTGCTGTAATTTAGCCTGCGGGCTACAAATGCATTTTGTTAATTAACCAATTATAATAATAATAACATGAAAAAGTTCCAATCATATACAACACAATATGAAAAATTCAAGCACAAGTTTAAAGCACAGGAGTGTTCACATTATCTTATTATTCATTACACGTATCAAAAAATTGTATAAAATGCATAGAGTACTGATGAAATTTACGATCAACTTGGGCTATGAGATGTCTTCAACTAGAATACTGCATTCAGTTGACCTATAAGAGAAAAAAATATATATTCAAACAGGAAAGGCATAACATTGTCACTGCTGTGACACTTAAGGAGGAACAGTGGATGGTGCCGACTGCTTCCTTTTCCCTTAAGAGTGATTACGTAAAGCAATCTACCAACCCAACAAATGATAATAGTTTGAACTCATTTTGAAAGATTAGTGGTAAATTGTAAAGTACAAAGGTAACACAGGTGGGAAAAATGTCCCCCAACTTTATTAAATGACCCATAGTCTCTTAACGTTTCTGTGCCTGGGTGAAGACACGAAACTTTGGGAGGAGGTATTGGGTTGTGAACGATCAACATAGTGACAAATTGCCAATTATGTATCATCAATTAGAATTGTGTTTCATGATTCAATCAATTAGAGTTCCGGTGATTCAATCAATTAGAATTCTGGTGTTTCATTCAATTAGAATTCTGGTGATTCAATCAATTAGAATTCTGGTGATTCAATCAATTAGAATTCTGGTGATTCAATCAATTAGAATTCTGGTGATTCAATCAATTAGAATTCTGGTGATTCAATCAATTAGAATTCTGGTGTTCATTCAATTAGAATTCTGGTGTAATCACCAGTCACATACTCCAGTACCTTGATATTTAAAGGGACTTTACTTCCTGGAATGTGTCCAATTGGCAAATGATTGGGCTACAAGACACGTTTTGAAGAAAATGATGTTCATTGGAAAGTGCATGTAAAAGTAGGATATATAAACATTCAACATCCTTTAAAAATTTAGCATTTTTGTGTTAATCTTGCAAGAACAAATTTTGAACAAATCCTGTAAAATTGTGGCACAGTGTGATATCAGGTAAACATTGAGTAAACAATCTAAAACATACACATTTTGGTGATTTCAGGCCATAATACCCCTTTAAGCATGAGGCAAAAGCTGGCTCAAATTTCAAACTAGACGTAATATTCTGATTAACATAAACCAGGGGTGTGAGTGGAGTCCAAAAAAAATAGCTGAAAATAGCTGAACCTGTAAAAAAACGAACCTGCGAGCGCAAAGCGCGAAGCCCTTACGGCGTGGGGTTCGGGGCCCGCCCAAGGGCCCCGGAAATTTTTTGAAATGTAGATGCTCTGTGGTGCATTTTAAAGCCCCCTGACAATGCCTGGGCCAACTATTGGTCGAAAATGTTTTGCAATTTATGCATGTTTTTAAGTTAACTTTTCCTTCATATTGGCTTGAAACTGCCTAAATGGCCAACTTGTATATGAAAACTGGGAAATTCAACCACGTTTTCCCTATTTTAACTCCTTACTGCAGATGATTGATACACATCGTCATCGCGTGTCCCGGGTTCTGATCGAGTCGCCTAATTTCTGCCCATTAACCATGTGTTCCATCCAAATCCGTTTCCACGGATTCGTAACCTGAGGATCGGTCTTGTCAATGTCCGAATCAAACTCCGAACCTCTTGGGATAATAACACATTTGTGTTGCACTGACATCTTGCGGAATTAATGTCAAAATATGTTCGAAACATTTGAAACGACACACTAACGTTAGTAACGTACGTATCAGCATGCAGCGGAATACGCAGCAGGCCGATGCGTGCATCGCATGCAATGAATTTGCACACATGAACTTTGCCCCGCATGATGCCCTCTACCGGCCGCGGCGCGGCACGGCGACAATTTACTAGTCTTATTCAAGGCTTTATATTTGCAACAAGACGATGTTTACAGCGAGTTATTGTGGAGATCATCGCGTGTCACTACATGCATAGACACAGGAACGGCCGCAAAGAGTCCCAACGCGCTTCATGGCGCATGTGTGAATATTCATATTTATCTGCAGCCAATCACAGCGCAATGACTGTTGGTTCCCCGGATGCTGTTTACACGTTGTGTATATACGCGGCTTCGAGCTGAAAAATGCATGCACATGGCATCGTATAGTACACACGTACGTACGTAAATGTGCATGTACATGTACATTGAATACTCGCTTGCACGCACCCCATCTCAGAGCTAGCTACGTATATGTTGTAGAGAGCGGATCGCGTGCGTTCGGCGGAAAATAAAATAAACGGAAATAAAATCAAAGCTTACGCGCGGGGGAAAAAGCGGGGGGAAATCTGGACCATCGGAAGAAAAAAAGCGGAAAACAAAATGTGGCACGCTGAACAAAAAAGCGGAAATCCGCTAAATAGCGGAGATATCACACCCCTGATAAACCTGTGTTAAACTCACCTGAGATTTCTTGAACTCTTCAATCCTCTTGTTTCCGTACACTATTTTCTTGATCCTATCACGTGACATAAAATAAAATGACTGTAGTCAGAGGAGATCCCAAAAATGAGACAAGGTAAGACTAGTAAACAGTTAAAGCTGGGACCAGAGCACACACAATCATATTCAACTGAGTGCCGAGGCCTTGTGGTCTGGAGCATTGAATCTGTGGTCTGCGGGTAATTCTACAGGTTGCGGATTCAAGTCCAGCCTTGGGTTATGGTGCGTGTGCCCTTAGGCAAGGCACTTTGTCACTCATTGCTTCTCTCCACCCTGGAGTAAATTGGGTAGCTGCGAGGGCAGAGATAGTTATTGTGATTGATTTTAAATGCCTTGTGCTGAAATGGTAGCATTGAGCTGTATACTCCCCAGGGAGCTGAGATTGTGGAGTAATGACGTAGTGCCTTCAGCACCAAAACTGGTTGATACGTGCGCTATATAAACGCACTTTATATTAATATTATTATTCAGAATCGCTATTCAGTGAACGTCTTCATGAATCAGTCTACAAAATGGGCAATGTGGCTACTAAAAAGGCAGTGAGGCTACTAAAAAGGCAGTGAGGCTAGTAAATATTTATGAGGTGTAGTAAAACAAACACAGCATGGTTTGTTTCTGGAAAATTTCGCGTCGGGAGGTGGTCAAGCTGACCTACACCGAGGGACCAGTAATTCCCACTACTTCCCCTCACACCATGCTATATTTGTATACTACCATAAAGTAAAGGGGACGAACCTATGTTCACAGGAACGGAGTGCCCATCTCTCTTTCATTAGTGATTGGGCCAGACTCATATGCTGCTGTGGGGGGATCGCCACACCACCTCCACAGCGAGTCTGTAACCTTCCCAGCATTAAATAATGCCGGTAACCATTTAACACCCGGGTTGAGAGGAGTAATTGAGGTAAAGCGCCTAACTCAAGGGCACAACACGCATGGCCACGGCGGGGCTCGAACCCATACTACCATAGGTGTGAATGAAATATTTACTTGAGTCTAAACCAGAGTACTTGGAACTGTGTTGCCTTACCATGCAGTCGGCAGTGGTGCCCACTGGTTCATGAGCATCAAAATCATCACAATGTTCTTACAGATCCAGACTTCAGACAACTTGTTTGCCACAGCGACGACAATCAGCGAAGCACAGCGCTCGGCCGTTTGCATAGAAGCCCCGCTACGCTCTGCCGTATTGCTGCCATATTCAAACTTGGGCTGCATACAGAAATGAGGAACAGACTCGTTCAAACTCTTAGCCCTTCTAATTCGAGAAAAAAATAAATAGTATCTTATCAAAGATAATGATAAAGATTGGACTTTTCATATTATTCCTACAGATGCACAGTGCAAAGTAACTTTTTTCCATACTAGAAACTATATTCACCTTTGTGAATTATTTTGTATCTTTTTGCTTCGAAATGAGGCCCCCGGTCGTTACAAACTATATTAGTACAATTTTGCATGCTGCCCAAAACTAGCCTTAAAGAGGTTGTGGAATGCTCGAAGACATTTCCGTCATTTTTCGGGTATATGTAGCCTAAGGTGTGATGAAATAAAAACGACTATTGTTTCTGTCATAAAATGAGTACAAAAGGTACTTTTGAGAGCTGTTTTTCAAGTCCTGTCATGCCTGTTTCGACCCGAACGTGCAATTTGTGTAAAAGTCGTCGTTGCGGGCAGCAAACAAAACACAGTAAATCGTGACGTAATAAACAGGACTCCCGATGCAGAGTAGCATAAACGAGTCCTGTTTATTACGTCACGATTTACTGTGTTTTGTTTGCTGCCCGCAACGACGACGTTTACACAAATTGTGCGTTCGGGTCGAAACAGGACCTGAAAAATAGCTCTCAAAAGTACCCTTTGTACTCATTTCATGACAGAAACAATAGTCGTTTTTATTTCATCACACCTTAGGCTACATATACTCAAAAAATGACGGAAATGTCTTCGAGCATTCCACAACCTCTTTAAAAAGTCCTTGGTAACATGCATTAACCAATAACAACACTAAACTTCTGAAAGAGCACGTACCATTGATAAACACAACTCTTTTTTTGTTGTTGATGGCCTGGGATTAATTTGATTAGAACATTTCTAATTATCCAAATTTTACGATTTTTTCAGACATGTTAAGAATCTTACCGCATTGAGATCTTTGCCAAATGCATTGGTAACGATACTGCTCTCAATTGGCCCAGGGCAGACATTGGTGATGCATAGTTCTTGATTTTCATATGCAAATGCACCAAAATAACCCTGTAGGTTAAAAGAATTACAAAACTTACCATAAACAATAAATAAACAATTGAGATGAAAGCATTTACAGAATATATAAAATGCGTTGGTGAAGGACACAACCCCATATTGAATTGTGATGAAAGTTGTCATGAAGTCAGGGAGCTCTGTCACCAGCCCTGAGCATCAGGAGGGGCCATACATGTAGTACCAACAAGGGGGGCCCAATACCATAAAAGTACATATGTATGGCTTTTGCCGGTGGGGGGCCAATTGCTCGCCAAAGCGGGGCCTGGCCCCACCAGGCCCCCCCCCCTTCCCCCTTGGCAATGGGACTGGACCTCTGGCAATAAATCTTGATCTAAGCGCAAAGCATGATTCATGTCTGTCTGTGTTAGTCTTAATTTCCAAATATTGTCTTATGGATCCTTGGTGAAGGCGTCATTGCAACACGGTGGCAGCGGTGGGATTCAAACCCACGCCGTCCAAATGACAGGTGGCCAACTTCACAGAGCTCCTAAGCACGCAAATCTGCTAAGCACAGAACATATTAGCGAACAGGTAAGCAATCAATGTGGCATGCTATTTATATTGCTTGTTAGTGATTCTTCACTAAGTTTTGCTCAGCAGACAAGTTTCCAAAGCAATAAATTCATCAAATTGCACCTCAGGTCCTTAGCTTGTCTGAACTAGTCAACCTAGTGCTTACCATCAGAGCATGTTTCGAGGCAGAATACGCACTGCTTAGTTCGGGTGATATCCTGCCAGCAACGCTCGATATATTCACAATGTGCCCCTCCTTTCGAGCAAGCATGTGCGGGAGGATCGCCTTGGTAACAGACAGCTGGCCAATCACGTTAAGTTCAAAGACGGCCTTGTCGACTTCCAAGCTGGTCTCGACGGCGAGAGATCGCTGGGAGCGGCCGGCATTATTCACCAAAATGTCGACCTGTGGTACCAGACATAGAAATACAATACACATAAAAGATGTTTCAGGACATTTTTTTTTCGGGTGTAATATGTTTATGACACCATGCACCAGAGCTGAAGCCAAGTACTCACAAGTCAATCACAAGTCATCCAGTGTCATACAAGCCCGTCTCAATTCATATCCGGCACGAGTATCGGACAAGTTGAGGGTCGAATCATTCACTTTGTCAAGACGAAGTTCTGCATCTGTCCCGGACATGTTCAGGGGAAATTTTCATTAGCGACTGCTTGACCCACCAATACTGATAACTTCATTGTGGGAAGATTGCGGGAAGTTGTTCAGAATCCTGAAACTTACACCCGATAAAATGCCCGCAAGTTGTCCAGAACTCGTCCCGGTTACGAATTGAGACGGTTAACCAGTGTGATACGAAACTTTGTTTGGATTGACTAGATCGACCCCCTCCTTATACTTGTTGGCTCGGCAAGACTCTTAAATGGGTGTCAATCACCTACAGTCAAAGCATGGATATGTCAAGTAGCACACTCAGTCACAGTCAATCATTCTTACTTTATATGTAGGCACAGAATTCATGATAGTTACAGTCACTTGATTGATTTCGACTAGGAACCCAATTTTGTCTCAGCTTAGGCAGATCAGAAGGATCCCATTCCCGCGATGTAGTCAAGTTACACGTTATGGATCACAAGTCAATCACATGTCACCCAGTCCCAAGTCAACTCACAAACTATTCCAATGAACTGTGACAAAAAGCATTCCTTTGCTATTGTCCGTCCCTGTTACTTGTGACTGGACTTGTGATTTACTTGTGATTTACTTGTGAACAGACATATAATTCATCACAAGCACCTCGGCTACAACTCCGATATCTCACCTTCTTGAAATGGCCCAATGCTTTGTCTGCACATCCCTTGTGGGATTCATAGTCCCTCACGTCCAGGGGTAGTACAAGGACATCATCATCTGTCAGCTCAGATGTCTGTACACATCTCTGCTTGACCCGTTCCAATTCCTTCTCCCTGCGTGCTGACAGAATCAACTTCACTCCCTGAAACAATGACATTATTAGCAATCAATCAATTTAAAACAATGTTTTTCATAAGTCACTGCAAGTTTCAACATAATGGCTTAGACTATTTTAAAACATTCTTACACATTTATTTACCAGATATCCTTCTAAGGCCCGTTCTAGACGCCGTGCTACAGGTACTTCTACACCAAACTTTAAAAGAAATGAGTGTGCAATAGCTCGGCTACAGCACTGCAGTTTCTCTAAACGCCGAACGTAATAGTCGAACCTGGAGTAATGGGCCAGGTTAAAGCAGCTCAAGCAGTTCAATGAACTTTCAGCATGATCAAACAATTCGCGCCAATTTCAAACCCCGTGATGCGGACGCAAGAGAGGGTATTGTGAGCATGCGCATTCCTAAAATGTTTGTCCCAACTTTGAATTGAATTGAGTTCGGCACGGCGATGGCATGTTTAGTACAGTGCTGTAGCACTGCCTTATGCTATTTCCAGTAATTGGCCGTATGTTTAGGTCTATCCGCCCTGTTCACAAGTACCCCCTCAACCGGCAAAGAGAGTACAGTTGGGGGGTGACCGACCGACGCCATCTTGCCTGACTGCTGCGTGCGAAGCGCGGCCACTGCGTGTACATAGTACAAATCCCCTGGTGTACGTGTGTCACACACAAGGAACAGTGCGCGTCAACCAGCGAAATGTCCCGCCCATGGGACCATGTTGCTAGGTAAAAGGGCGCCCTCTTTCGTTGGCGCACGGAGCCCCATATTTTTGTACATGTACAGGTAGTGGTGTTAAAAGAAGAGGCCGTCTACTGTGAAAGCATAGCTGATGTGGATGGCAATATGATCTTATAGTTTTGTTGTTTCTTCTTCTTCTTTTTGGTGGGGGGGGGAGAGGGGGAGGGGGAAGACGTTTAGGAGAATAGTATCTACCTTTCGTGCCAATTCATAGGAGAGCGCTTCACCAATACCACTTGAGGCTCCTGTTATCCATGCAACTTTGCCCCGTAGATTGGCTGAAATGAGAACGCATAATCAAAGGCAGTAATACTAGGACACTACCACGACTACTGGCACTACAGCACTGTATGCAATTTCAATAAGCCTTTACCACATGTTATTCTAAATTTAAGAATTTGCAGATTGAAAATGTTGAAAATCAAATTTAATTTTCTTCAGCCCTAGCTATTCAGTTCCTGATGTGGAACCATGCTTGCAAGCATGGTGGTAGGCAGTGTTTTTTCAGGCAACAAAAGGATTCCAAATTAAACACGCATTACAAATTTAGAACATCCATGTACAACATGCCTGTTCGGCAGCTTCGCCTCATACAAGCGAAGAAGTGCACTGATGAAGATAAAAAAACAAATTCAAAAAGCATGTTTCTTTACATTTGGGTAGTTCCATTTGGGTGTCGGACTTACATTCTGGACGATTCCACAGTAGTTTAATGTATTAATAAATTGGACCTTAAATCTGATAATACTGGTCAGTTGGTTACTTCAAAGTTTTCAAAAAGAAAATATTTATCCATACTTTTTGCTGTTATAGTAGAAATCGGCTTAAAACCATGGCATTGGACATACTCAAGCAAACTGATATTTCTGTGTACTTATTACTTTGGGGGGGGGGTGGGGGAAACAAAGAAATTGACTGGAGCGAGTCTTGAACCTGCAACCTCCAGATTACCGTTTTGGGGCTCTACCAACTCAGCTATCCAGCCCTATGTCAATATCTTTGTTCAAAGGGGCGCTAGTCAGAAGCCATAAACTTAATTTTTTTGTTGTTGAAAAGTAACAGCTGAACTGTTCAACATTAATTTCATAAATAAACTTTATTTCAATCTTAGCTACAAAGAAGAAGCTACAAAATGATATTTTGATTTTTTTTTTTTCATTGTGGTTTATAATTCCATGGAATTGCCTTTTTATGAATACATTTATGACTACTTACATCCGTCCTGACCCCACTGCTCATAAAGCATGAGTAAGAGGTCGCCATCTTGGGTCAATGCCATGGTAACGATTACAACGAAGTAGATCAACAACCCAAATGCCAGGAAGTGAAGGACAGGGATGGCAAAGAGTAGAATGACAGACATGATGCCGAGGGTAACGGACGTCTTTGTCTCCATGGCTGCCGGCAATCCTTTCACGCACTAATTAAAAAGTGATAAAATGAATGATCAATGTTGTGAAAGGCATTGAACAGAGTTTAAGACCAATTTTCTCACGTACATGTAAGTATTTAAGCAGTGGGGTAACTAACAGGGATGCTGCATGGGGGGGGGAGGGGGAGGGGGGTCCCAGTCCCCCAGACTGGGACCTTGAGTACAGAAAAACATGCAAAACTAAATCAGGCCAACCTTTATTCACTCTTTAATCTAACACAATTCTCCAAAATGTTCATGAGGCAAAGGCAAGGTCCACAGTATTTCACCAACAAAGTTTTAGGCCTCAATTCAATTTTTAAAGGAAACGTTTCTGCAACATTTTGCACCTGATGAGATTGAAGCCAAGTGAAGCCTAAGTCTAACGGCCAACTTTTGAAAAGATTGACCCTTTTACTGCATGACCACATTGTATGCATAAAAATAGAAAAATGTGTAGAAATAGAGACTAGGGGTGTTGGACTGGTTGTTTCATGTGCCACTCACTGCCTGTCTCTTTTTGGGTGTTGTAAAAATGTTGGGCCTCTCATACACAGTATCCAGAGTCCCACATTTTTAGACTAAACCTATTAGTCGAAGTAATCTTACTGCTTATTAGCCTTTTTGACATGTTCACTAGCTAGGAGGGCGCTACTTGATAGGATCGGATTAAGTGTTCCCTAGGCCCTCTGCGCACTAGTGTTGCATAGGCCCACACCGATGTCATGCCAAAAACTGTCCAGTGCCAAATAGTTTTCACTTTATAGCGTGCATCCTAGTGCTGCGTGCTCAGCGGACAATATTGGGCAGTTTTTGGCATGATCAGGCACCAATTTGACAGCTGTAACTGTCAGTTGTCGAGCGCAATTTGAGTCCCCCGCGCAAGTTTAAACTTGCGCACGCAATTTTAAACTTGCGCGAGGGACTCGCGAAGCACGCAAATTACAGCGCGCCATTTCAATTTGCGTGCGCACATTACAACTTGCGCAAAGGCGATCGCAATTTGAGAACCTTGCGGGCGGGATTTTCATTAATGAAGAAAAAAAAATGTTCAAAACACAAGTACATCGAGAAATAAATTAATAAATATTGGAATAAATTAATGAACAAAAGAAATAAATAAAAAGAGGAATTCAATTAGCGTCAATGAAAAAGAAACATTGAGATTAATTAGCAGTGCTTATCAGAGAAGTTTCTTAGGGGGCGGGGCGGGGAGGGGACTGGGCAAGCAATCAATAAGCACACTAGTGGCGTTTGCTTGGATCATTTATTAATGATTTAATTTATTAATTTAATTAATTAATTCGACTTAATGAATAAATATGTTGTTTATTAAACAAAAATCCTAACGAGCTGTAAACAATAATACAGATCAGGATGCAAAGTGCATAAATTGTTCACATTACCACCCCATCTCTGAACCTCTACACAGTCAAAATCATTAGCATAATACTGTTAATAAAATGTTTCAAAAAAGGCATTTAGGCATTGTCTCATGCAGCACAGTGGTGCTATTAAATCGGAGAAAAATCTGCATTAAAAATAATGTTACATAATCTGCATGAGTTTACACAGAATCAAATTAGGTTAGCGGCTTTGCATGCACTCTGAGTGCAGGGCCCGTCGAAAAATGCGCCTGTTCGGTGGGGGCAATTTCAAACTGCTCATGCAAACAACGCATAGTTCAATTGTGTTGTTTTCATAGGTTGAACTCACACTCACAGGTTGAACGCACTTTGTATGTCGCCGGGCCATCCCCGGCACAAAAAATTAGTTTAGCGGCTTTGCATGCATGGGGAAATCTATGTAGTGCGCAAGTTTAAATTTGCGTGTGCAATTTGTAGCAAGGAAATTAATGCACACGCAAGTTTAAACTTGCGCGGGGGACTCAAATTGCGCTTGACACAGTTATTACAATGTAGGGAAACTATAATGCAACCTGACGCTACTTTCGAAACAGAAAAAAAAATTCTTTTGCTTATCTTGCACCTCAGATAGAGAGTATACTTTCATGTGAGAACTGTAAGGAATATGTTGATAAAGCCTTTAAGAGAGATTTGTAGGCGAATGTGTGGCCAACTTAGTGAATTTGTACATGTCGCGCGTCGGTTGAGGGCGTCAACATGCAGTGACATGTAAAAATCCACTAAGTTGGCCACACATTCGCCAACAAATCTCTCTTAAAGACTTTGTCAACATATTCCTTACAGTTCTCACATGAAGTATACTCTCTCCATGGGTGCCGACTGCCGGTCAACTCGGTCCGTGACCAACTCGGTCCGAGTCAACTCAGTCCGAGTCCGACTCGGTCCGTGACCAACTCGGTCCATAACCAACTCGGTCCGCAACCACCTCGGTCCGTAACCAACTCGGTCCATAACCAGCTCGGTCCCTATGGGAAAATGTGCGCAAAACAACTGCATTTTCTTTTAACAAGGCAAGGCGGTCTCGCACGCGTGTTTTTTTTTTCCAGATCTCCATACTAGGACGCACTTTATAGTTTCTGTTGCTTCAATTTCTAGGTAGCATGTGGTCGGCTCAGGCCTGGGATAGCTTGGAGCTTAAATAAAAATAAGAGCTTTGAAATAAAAGTGTGCCGAGGCTACGTACATGCAGTGCGCTGCCGGGTTGCCGGCCTTTCGGTCACCCGTACGACCCGCCCTGCGCGCGGCGGGTGGTGGGCATAATGCAGCTGGGTGCGTTCGGACTTTTTGAAGAAAACGGTGCACGGCCGGTGACAGTGCCGCGCCTGGCCGCACATCCCCACCGGCCATCGCCAAGGTGCATGGCCGGTGGCAGTGCCGCGCCTGACCGCACAGCCCCACCGGCCATCACCACAATGCACGGCCGGAGCGCTGCTGGTACCGTCCCCCCCCCCCCCCCCAAAAAAAAATATTAATAACAAATAAAACCCAAAAAATGCAAGAGAGACCGAGCTGGTTACGGACCGAGTTGGTTATGGACCGAGTTGGTCACGGACCGAGTCGGTCACGGACCGAGTCGGTCACGGACCGAGTCGGTTACGGACCGAGTTGACTCGGACCGAGTTGGTCACGGACCGAGTTGACCTGAAAGCCTCTCCATGGTTGGTAAGTATGTGAATGAATATCAGGATGCAACATTCTTTTCCAATGCCATGGATGGAGTAAATTACACATATCGAGTTTCGATGTCAGCAATGTATGTACTGTACTAGCCCCACTAGTGTGGCCGTCGGTATGCTGCGCGGTTCAGCGCAGCATACCGACGGCCACACTAGTGGGGCTAGTACTGTACAAGCCTACTACTACTATAGCCCCACTAGTGTGGCCGTCGGTATGCTGCGCTGAACCTTACCGACGGCCACACTAGTGGGGCTAGGCCTACTACTAGTACCATGGAGGAAGGTACTCCTAGAACTATGAGGCTCCGCGTGAGCTCACGCGGAGCCTCATAGTTCTAGGAGTAGGAGGAAGGAAGGTCTATTCCTTCCTCCATGCTAGTACTAGTACTAGCTAGTTTGAAGCTTTCCCAAAATCGAAAACACAGAAACTGAGAAAGGGACGCTAAAACTTTTCTTGTGTCGGGTTGATGATGTAAAAACCGGCAATCGTATGATCGTGTGAGAAAATATTGCTGCCTTGAAGTTGAGTTGAACCATTGAACCATGGAGGAATGTTAACATAACATAGCTGACACCTACACCATCACCACTGGCCAAACACACAAAAGTTATTCCTTGCACGGTAATAATACCTGGATCTGATTACCGATTACCAAGTTTGAAGTTATATTAAAAGGACACAATGCATTGCCAGAAGCTACCTGATGTCTGTCTTTGTCGTGACCGCCCCTAGCCCTGGGCCCTCTCTATCTTGTCCGTAATCAATCAAGCGGCGCGGCGCGGCGCGGCGCGGCGCGGCAACAAGCCGCACCGGCCGTGTACTATTTATATTGCCAGCTGCATCGATCGGCCGCACGCGGTTGACGCGTGGTCGACAATGGTGGCGCTGTTTAGAACCAATGAGAGCCAGCTGATGCACCGGTGATCGAGCACATGCAGTATCAGTGCACGCTGTCGCAACACCGGGGGAGGTTGAGGATCGGAACGAATACATCTGCCAATTATCGATTATTTTCACGTATGTTTTTCTCCATGAACCTTTTCTTGTTGCCTGTATTTGAAAGAACATTGCATTCTGAGGTCCTTTTTTTTTCATCATATATTATCTCAATGAAGGTCGGTCATTGCACAAACTGACAAATGTTTAAAAGACATGAATCTGGGACTGGGAGTTTCCAATTTCAGTCTTTGTTACTACATCATACATGTAGTTTGAAAATGTACTGGCCCTAGTCATGTACACCATCAAAGAAGTGGCATCTTTCCTTTGTACTTATTGTAGTGTTACTGTTAGTGTGAGACAGACTTAGTATGAGCCAGCGTTGTAGCTGAGTGTCAGTCCATCACAAGTCGTCACAGACATGATCAGTCCCTGTAATAATTGTGACCACACTGTCACTTGAGAATTGACTAATTGTCATGCTTGTGAAGGACTCGTCACATGCTCGTGATTGACTCGACTGCAACACTTTAATCATAGCGAAGCATGACGTTTGGCAAGTTACTGAGTTAGACCTATTGTCACTATGCATTTAATATGCTGTTTTTGCTCCTCCAGAATATTCCTGCTGAGGTGATAGATCAATTTGCTGCAACTTATCTCCCATCACATCCCCAACAATGTGGGAGCATGGACCAGTGTCAGCCTGGGTGCGATTCTACATCTACGCCATCCATGGCTACTTTGCAGAAGTCATGTTCACGGCTGCCTGGGAGTTTGTCGTCAACATGAACTGGAAGTTCCCCGGTGTGACTAGTGTCTGGTCACTGCTGATCTACGGGACCTCCAACATGGTCATAGAACATCTGTATCTACGATTCAAGGATAAGATACCTCTGCCTGTACGTCTCTGCATGTATGTTGTCTGGATATACCTGTGGGAGTTCTCCACAGGGTTGATTTTGAGGCAGTTTGGGGCCTGTCCGTGGGACTATTCGCCGTTTGATTTTGACTTCTTTGGGCTGATCACTCTGGAGTATGCTCCTGCCTGGTTCATCGGCGCACTGGTAACCGAACAGATCCTGATCAAGAATACACTGCGTTTGTTCTTCCAAGACAGCGTGCAAGGCACCAGGCAGTCGGGGCAGCAAATCATGAATGGTCTGTCTGTGAAGAATGATTGATTCACATCGTGGAATTCTAATCTTAGTCAGTGCTGTAGTCTAGTAGTCCATCACAAGTCCATCTTAAAGACTTACAATGTACATGTAAATCTGGTCAAAAGTGGGGCTCATAAACCCCTGCTGAGCAGAGTCAGTGGTGGAAATAAGTCACACGCATGTGTTGTTCATTCCAAGAAATAGACAAATATGGCGGCCGAACAGCGAAAATCTCAAGTGGACTTAAAAATTAACTTTATTCAAAGTCTAAAGGTAATCATTTATTAAGTTCATTGCGACTTTTGCGGCTATAATTCCAGCCCAACATTTTTGAGTTTTGCAATCGACTGAAAAGCAGTAAATCTCAAATTAAGACCCAATCCCAAACGGGCGTTTTGTCAGTGGCTACGGCCATGGCTACCGGCGTCACGTGAGGATCGTGATGGCCCATGGTTTAGCGTTGGATTAGCCCGGCTGTCGTGGCTAACCCATCTGCCCTTACCTGAGTCGATCTGGGTGCAGAGCTACTCGAAAGCACCCAATAAAAAAGGAAACGCTTTTATCTCAGTTCATTTCAATAGCTTGTGATTTGAGACTGAGGGACTTGTGATGGACATGTGAAGGACTTACTACAGTGCTGGCCTTTCACCAAGGCCATCGTGGCTTAGAACTGCGACGCTGCGAGCGACTGGAGTGAAGACCAATTCAGCGCGCACGAGTGGCGAAGCCACGAGGCCTTTTCTAACTTGATTTTGTTCAATGATTCATATTTTTTAAAAATTAAAATAAGATAATGAAAGAACCATTACGCCGTCACGATCTCGTGGAGAACTAGACTCGCATCTGTTTGTTTTTAAATTTTGTGCCAGTATCCGGGGCGCGCGCGCATAGGGGGCGCATCCGGGTAGTAGCCATGCGCGCCGTAAAAGGCTAATGATTGGTGGGAATTTTGCTACCCTTTTAGGGTAGCAAAAATCGAGATTATAAAGAAAAACATAAGAAATTCTTGACAAGTTGGAAAAGGCCCTCGTGGCTTCGCCACTCGCGTGTGTGGTCTCCCGCTCCAGTCGCTTCGCGGCCTCGCCGCTTTGTCTAATGCCGGCAAGTTAAGCCACGATGGCCTTGGCGAAAGGCGCAGGCCCCAGTACATGTACATGTAGATGTACATTATAGAGTGAGGCATTTCTTTTGCACTGCAGTGATGATCACTCTTGCTTTGAATTTTCAATAGAGTCATAATTTGAAAGTTTGTCAAGAAGGCCCTGTGAAAGATTTGTTTTCTAAGTTTTCTGCTCTTCCCATTTTCCTAGCAGTTTTTGTGGCTTGTTCCACCCTTTACCCAATGGGTATTATGTTTATAAATACAAATGTTTTGTACACGCAGTTAATTGTATTCATGGGTGCTTTACTTTCTCTGTAAATTATAGAACGGACACTAAACAATGTGATTTGTTACAGTGTAATAAACCACATTGTTAAGTGTCCCCTGTGTATGCACACTATACATGTACATGCTCTTTCCACTTCAGATGTTTTACGCTGGGTTAAAAAAAAACAATAATTTGAAAACCATATGTTTGGTGCAAAACAGGCTGAATTCCTCGATCTAGGCTTGTAGCCAAAAGCAATATCTAAACTGTCTTAAGCGCACGTTTTTACTTATTAATTAATTGCGGAGAATATAAACTACAAGTATTTTCAGGCAAACAAATTAAATTTAAGTGTTTGGCATTATAAAAAATTCTTTGAGTATTACTAAAACGTTTACAAGTACCAGTAGCAAGAACAATGCAAAGTTGATTTTGTGCAATGTGTGTCAACTTTTATTGTCTGTTTTTAAAACTATAAATTCCAGTTTTGTTTATGATGGGAAAGGTATTTAACTTTATGCCTAATCAATGCATTCAAGTGTAAATAGTTCCATTAATTTTAATGTGTAAGCTTAAAAAATATGTGCATCATTTCCAAAACATACTTTGCAGGTTCATGTAAAACACAATTTATATGTCTTTTCAATTTGGAAACTTATGCTGGTCAACTTGACTCTTCCACAGTTTCGCATACATTGTGAAAGTTATTGTTCTTATGAACACACTGGACCTTTTGGACCCTGTTATTCACTTTAAAGGGACACTGGGTCCTGGAACAGCCCAATTGGGCTACAAAACGCGCTTTGAACGAGATGATGTTAATCGTAAATAACATTTAAAAGTAGGATATAAACATCCACACAACTATCCTTTCAAAACTGGGCGTTTTTGTGTTATTCCTGTATTGTGCGTGCGAGAACGAATTTCGGGGTCCACTTTTGCGACCCCATAAATTCGAGCTGTTTGGATGCTAGTTGTGATTTCATTCGTACGCGTAAAGTGTTCGCCTTTTGCGGACGTTGAAGAAACCACAAATTTTGGCATTGGTGATTGGTCACCGTGCGCTGTTCCCGTGACACACAATGTGTATAGCGTACACTGAGAACGACACGAAAAACGTATTCGTACTCCGTCATGTCCGATGTAAACAAGCGGGTTTTTTTCGTCTTTTCTCGGGAGCGGTAAGACATTAGGTTGGTTTCCTTTCAACCAGATGTTTGAAATAGGCTAAGTAAACAATCCAAAACATAACATTTTCGGGGATGTCAGGACCTAGTGCCCCTTTAATGTGGCCAACATTGACTAATTTTAAAGATTACATGTACAAAAAATGAAGATGCATGTACCGTATCTGAAACAATCTTCCAGAGATCCTTACATGTCTGACTTTCCCAATCTTCTAACGCACAAAAACGTGATGTCTACCGGTATTTTCTTTTTGGATGTACATGTACATTGTATTTTGTTTGTCAAGTTTAAATGCTAATAATATTAGCATATTAACATATTATGTAAAAATACCTTTTTTTAGTTTGAATTGTTTTTGTTATTATTGTTATATTGTTGTTGTTGTTGTTTTGGGTTGGTTTTTTTTTTTTGGGGGGGGGGGTAATGTACCGGTACAGTTTACCTTTGACTTCATTAACATGAGATACATAATTATTAATACAGTAATTATTGCTGCTCGAACTCAAGTCGCTTTGCAAATAGGGGACCTATATTATTGAAGCAGTCCTAAAAGTTGGATACATTTTCAATTCAATGACAAATTCTAATTTGTTGTCAAAACATGATAAAAACAGTGTAACACATTACTTTCAGTGCTGGAGCTTATTCCTTGGCACTTCTTGATGGTAAGCAGAAAAGCTGAGCTAATCACATCAGCAGAAATATACCAACAATGAGCATATTTCTCGGTCTGAAAGCTAGTAACGCTGGAGTGTACAGTACTTAAAGATTTCTTGTGCCGTGTCACTATTTTCAACATAAACAGCGTGCTCTTTGCATAAAACAGACCCTAGGCTGTAGACAAATCCAGGCACTCATGAGGCCCCCTCCAATGGACAAATCAATGTGCACGCTATGGTACATTAAAGCAACTGCCCCCTGACCGATTATCTGAACAATAGCTAGCACAATGCTTTCGCCATTGAAAGGGGCCTTCGTGACAGAATTTAAAGCATGCCCGGATTGGTCGATACGTGCTCTTGTCAGTAAAAATGTATATGAGCCATGAAACTTGGCCTTCCTGGAATCCTCTGTGTTTGATTGTTCATTCCAACATGGGTTATGGTTAAACTAACGTTATTTGTACTCGGGTACAATATTGTACATTTGCTGCACACATGAGCAAACTTTTCATTCCCGCTTAGTTTATCAGACTTTAATGTACTTAGATGGTCACAAAAAAATGTCAATGCTTAGATACCATTTGGACTTCGCAGGAAAACAAAAAGTATTCTTATATTGTCTAGCATTTTAGATCAGTAAATTCTGCATAAATGATACAAAATAATGACTGTACAGGTATAACATGGTTAATGTTATTTGTCCAATGTGGATCTTCTAACTAGTCAGGCTAGTGGTGAGCATTTACGGGTAATTACAGGAACCAGGTACCACTATTGTTGTAAAATACGGGTACCCGGGTACCTGTAAAAGAAATCCAATCCCAAAATACGAATCCCAGAAGTTATCTGAAAGTATTTTCGGGGTATACCGCAATTTTTCTCGAGTATCCACATCCGCTGCACATTTACAATGTTTTGGTTTTCCGTGTAGCCTGGTTTTCATTTAAAAAATTCCCCACAAATGACATTCAGAACCTTTCTTTTTCAATGTCTGAGAAGTTACTAAGTAATTTGTAAAGTCGGCTACGGGTACTTGATCCCATAATCTGGAACCGGTTTCTGACATCAGCGGTCGGGTACTCGGGTACCCAGTTCCGATGTACACCCCTACTTCAAACTCGGGACTAAAATGGAAGGATATCTTCCAGCCATATCACAGCTTTAAATCTGAACTGCCCCATACAGTACAATGTTGATGTTACTAAAAGTAAAAAGGTTCACAAAATCAAAGCAATGTATTGTAAAATTCCTGTGCAAAGAAAATTTATGTGCCCCCCCCCCAAGTTTATATTTTTAATTGTTGAAATTTATCGTATCATTTTATGCTTCAGGGATAAAGTTCACTGTCAAAAGCACTGTCAATAATAATGTTAACTTCCATTGCCACATGATTCCATAAATATCTGGGGCAATAGTTAAGAAGAAATATTTATTACATGAACACAATGTATGTAGGGCTTATGTACTTGGGGTGGCTGTATAGGTACATGTGTGTGTGAGTCTATGTACTATTTATTAGTACTGTTTATCTGCCAATATCAATAAGATTTTCATTAAAATTGTTGGTTTGTCGTTATATGTTATTTAGCTTTAGCCAATTTTAGCAAAAAAGTCTGCCATTTTTTTGTAACTTTCAAATAAAGGCGCCAGCCATTTGAATGACGAACATGCTGTTGAGTTAAATAAGTTTTGTATTATTTTGATATATTTTATTTAATAGTGGAGGGTAATGGATTCTGGAAGGAATTTGTTTTCGGGGATGAGGTTATTTTTTGACTTTTTACATTTGAACAGCGGAGAAAGGGGGGGGGTGGCACCAGACTTCGGCACTTGGTTTCAATTGGGAGTTTTTTCCCCCTTTTTCTCTTTTTTTTTATATTGAACGACTAATTGAGGGAAAGGGACTATGACTACATGTAGTCTAAG